TTTTTTCAGTCATTTTATCTCCACCCTCCAAATGCGATGATCTTTAGGGATCTTGTTCTATTTTTTAATGCCTGAAGGAGACCTCTTAGGGTAGCAGCCATCCACTCTTCTCCAGGAACAGCCCTTATACCTGGGGTGGGGGGAAATGGCATGTCTGTGGGACAATGCACCATACCACCTCCCCCTACAAACACATCTTAGCCACAGCTTATTGGACCATCTGACCCAAGCACAGTCAATCAGATTCTCATTCCCAGATTTCAAATGTGGACCACAGCTGCACTGCACTAAGGGGAAGATTCTGGAGACCCACTCTAAGGACTCTTCGCTGTTGATGTCCCCAGAGTTGTCCTCATGGTTTCCTTCCCTCCCATTCCACAAACTTGCCATTTTCCCCCTGAAGTTAACCAGTTAATGTCTGTTGTTTGCTGTCTGAGATACTTTACTGAACTGAAACCTTACTAACTGGTACAATTTTTCCTTAAAAGCAGAACAGAATTGTTTCTCACTGGCTGATGGAAACCTATTCCCCAGAGCTACTGAGAGGGGAAATGTACTGTAGCTTACTTGACTCAGCTTCCCCCTGTAATGGGAAGCCATCTACCCAGAAGGTCTCCTTCCCCTTTTTGAACACAAGTCTGAGCTTTCAGCCAGTCTTAAGCCTTTTCTCTACCTCAAGATTTTGATTGTTTTTCAAACATACACTATTATTTCCATTCATATTTCATTATCATCCCCCCTTTTCCTAATGCCTGTGAATAAAATCCAATGTCTCCTTTGTTATTTGACACATGTATTACTGGAACACATTTTGAATGTTCGTAAGTATAATAGTATACAGGACAGACCTTCCTGAGACCGGTGCTACATAATGTCAGAAGTTTAAATTTGAGTCTCATCTATCAAAACTCCATGACATCCCCAGATATTTGGACAAACATTATTCTGCGTGTTTCTCTGAGGGTGTTTTGGGATGATATTAACATTTAAATCAGTAAACTGAACAAAGCAGACTGCCCTCCATCATGTGGGTGGGCTTCACCCAAGTCAATGAAGACATTGCTACCAACCTTCTTCCCCCTTCAAGAGAGCACTCTCCTTCCTGGCGACCTTTGAGCTGCTTCCTGGCTCCACAACAGCTTCAGGTCTTTGGACTCAAAATGGGACACTGGCTCTGCAGATTTTTGACTTGCCAGCTTACATAATCATGTAGTCAATTCCTTATTTTATAAATATAGAATATACTCTATTGATTCTGTTTCTCTGGAGAACCCTAAAATACCCATTCATTCTCATGTAACCAGCAATCCATTTTCATCATATAAATTTACTCAACAACTAACTTGTAAAATTATCACTATGAATTTTGGGAAAAAATTTTCCATGTCCAAATCCTTTCAGAAATGGTCTGGGTTTAAGGAATAAAATATAAATAAATGTCAAACAAAAAAGAGATTAAGGAGAAATTTATGCCTGGAATGTACTTGGTTTGGAAAAAGAACACTGACAGGCCCGCATGAAAATTCAGCAATTTCTTTAAACAAATGACAACTAGCATACCAAAATACGTCTTCTCTAAATAAGGAACTTCTCAGTATCAATACTCACTGTTCTGACACGGGAAAATGAAACTACCCTTTCAAAGTGAGGATAAAATATACAATGAGAAGAGAATGGGCTGCATTGTGTTTTAGTTTTCATTTCCTCAGTACTTTGAAATCACCTGTTTACTGTCAAGTTGATTAGCCATCTTTAATATTACTATGTGTCTTATATTATCTCTTACTAAAATGTTATCTTAAAAACAAAAACCTTAATTTTTATATATTGAATGAATTTAAACATTTTTTCCTACTCATTTTTTTTTAAACCTTGTACCTACCACAGGTAACCCAAAACCTAAGTTAAACTATTTGAATACAATTCAGACCTGGGGAATTGGGTAAAATGAATGCTCTGCAAATGATCTTTAATGAGCTTTTGGATCAGAATATAACAGATTATTATTTGTTCCCCCCAGAAAGTTTTCAGAAGAATAGAGATTATCATGTAATAATCAGGCAATTTCTGCACTCTGGCTGAAAACCTTGGGAATTTAGTTTGGCCTTAATAAATGACAACAAATTTTAAAAAGGTACATGTCATCTGAATTAGTCATATTGCTCTTTATTTACATTTTAATTTATCATTATTTTTTATACCACACTAAATGATTTAGTTTTCTTTTTCTATTATCATATATTATGGTGTTTCTTTCCTCCTTTCTCTTTTCACAAACTGATTATAAATGATATTGGGCAGGATAAGAAGACCCAGCCCTATAATGCCCAGTGATGGGAGTCTGTGCTTAGCTACAAGTGGCTAATAGAAAGATTATACACAGGGAAATATATACAAGATCTTATGGTAGCTCACAGAGAAAGGAATGTGACAATGAATATATATATGTTCATGTATAATTGAAAAATTGTGCTCTACACTGGAATTTGACACAACATTGTAAAATGATTATAAATTAATAAAAAATGTTAAGAAAAAAAAGATCATACAAAACCACCCATAATTTTTCAAAAGTTGTGTAGTGGAAGATTGCAATAAAGGATTGTATATGAGCCAATATTTCTACGTAAACTTAACCCTATCAATACACATGGTTTCTTTACTGCAGATAAGACAGTATATTTGGATACCCACAGAAAATTTTTGATTAAATGATTAACTACTTATAACTTTTTTCCAGATCCCTGCAAAATTGTTTTCTTATAAATTGTTCTTCGAAAGCGATGTGAAAGTATGTTTTGAAGACATTCCTCTGTACTTTGGGGACTTGCAGATTCTCTGCATCTTGAGAGAGGAATAGTTTTAGGACCTTTCTCTTTCCATACAAGGACTTTGAGTCAGAAGATCTGAAGTCTCAATCTACCACTGCCTTGTTGTGTGAGATTTGGGCTTGCGATTTAGCTTCTCAGTCTTGTTAAAAAAAAAAAAAAAAAAAGGAAGTAGAAAACATTTACCTCACAGTACTTCTGAGAGGATTCAGTGGGATAATGTATACTATGATAGTTTAGAGCTGCTGTGTCCCATGGAAATTAAACATGAGACAACTGTAAGTCACATCTATAATTAAAATTCTTTTTCTGGTAGCCATATTAAAAAAGTAAAAACTGAAAATTAATTTAACCATATTTGTATTTAACCTGATATATCCAGAGTATCATTTCGACATGTAATCAATACAAAACAACATGAAAGTATTATACCCTCTTTTTTTCGTACTAAATCTTTGAGACCCGGTATTTCAGATTACAGCACGCTGCAATGAAGGCGACCCATATTTCAAGTCCTTCAATAGCCATCATGGGGCCAGTGGCCACCCAACTGAATAGCCCAGGGAGAGATCTGAATTCATTTGTCACATCAGCTAGTTGATCATTTAGCAGGCAAAGCAGAAGGGATCTAACCTCAGCTAATGAAATGGTTGTTTCAGACTCTGGGAGCTTCAAAACTTTTCCTAAAGAACGCATCATCTCCTTTCGTATGTTGAACTTAAAAAAAGTCAAACAACATTAAAATGTATAAAGTAAAAGTTTTCCACACCATTCCAAAACTAACAATATTTTTAGCAACGACAGATAACATTTGAGTAGGTGGGCTTCATGTTAAGTCTAGAAAATCAATTCTCTTATTGCCTCTTGTTGATTTTGAACTATGGTAACCTCTAGATTCTACCCCTCTGGTTTGCTTATCATCTTCATATGGAAGACATTTTTCCTTGCTAGCTTTTTAGTTCCAGACAGAAGTAACTGTATGTACTTTGCTTTATACTATACCTAGCACAGACTATCCAAATATAACCTTATATATTTTCAAACATATACTTACCATTTGGGCTCTTTTCACCTGGGATGCCTTTTTATCATGTGGTTGAATGAAGAAATTAGAAGTCAGATTTACTATTTTGACTGGCTGGTATTTCAAAGTCAAAGGACACAACGCTTATATTTACTACTGGTCATCAAAATCCTTACTCTGGAAACTCAGTCTCTCACTGATAGCTTTCCAATCAATGGATTGTTCACTTTATTTAGAATTTAGATTTTATGTTACAATTTCTCCAAAGAATCATACGACTATGCTTTGGACATTTTGAATTCTGTCAACAAGAAATCTGGTGGGGGGGTGTGGGAGGAGGTGGGTACGCAGGGTCGCAGGGTCGCAGGGTCGCAGGGTACACAGCTGAGAAAGCATTTCCTAAAGGCGGAGCTGAGCGTAGTTACTAGATATTCATTCCTTCTGAGAACGTTAATCCCACGAAAAGTTAAGAAACTGGAAAACTTGTATTAATATCTATGGGAGCTATAAACAAAAGATTTAACGAGACTCCGGTAAGCTGTAATGTACTATGCCCAGAAGAAAAGTTGAGAAATTTGTAGGAAAAAAAAAAAAAGCTAGACTTAAATTTAAGGTTTCCCTGCTCCTTGGAATTGCAATGGGAGCTGTATTTCAGTATTTGGTACATATTGGGGGGGGGGGGTGGTGTCAATGAACAGTAGGAGTTACTGCAGGGTTAGGCCTTTTTGAACTCCTAACGCAGAATACAGTCAAAATACAAAAAGCCAAAATATAAGAGCTCTGTAGGAGTCCGCGGAAACAGGCCTTTACAGAAAAATAACAACTTGTGTATTATATATACACAATACTCTGTTTTCCCGGTATTTACATCTAGTAGGGGTTAGATCTTTTCCCCTCTTGTAAAGAGCCAAGGAAAAAAAACCCAAAACACTCCACTGTGAAAGTCAGTCCGCAGCAAAGGCCAGAGGGCAGGATCCGAGTGCGCTAGCCTCTGAGAGCAAAACCCCGCGACCTTCCAGGCCCCAACGCACGCTACGCCCACCGCGCAGGCGCAGGACGGAGCGGCGCCGAAGCGGCCGGAGGCGAGAGGCGATTCGCCTGATTCGGCTGGCCCCGCCCCTCGACTCGCGTCAGGCCCTGACGTGGCCGTCTAGGGCCGGCGGGCGGGGTTCTAATCTCTTACAACAGCGCGCGCCAGCACTCCAGCGGCTGTGGGGACCGGCGCCTGTCGGCTGTGGATCCCTTGCGAGCCGCCACTGCCACAACTAGCTGCGTTCGCTACGAGGATTGCGCGCTTCCATCCAGTAAGTGTGAGAGAGGCGGCCAGACAGGGCGTCCGCAGGGGCTGCTAAACGAGCCGCTCTGACTCCTGCCGGCCGGAAGTCGCGCACCCCTGACAGCTGCCGGGCCGCAGTCTGGGTGAAAGGGCTGTTGAACGGCCGCGGGAGCCGGGGCCGGGGAGCGCGGTGAGGCTCGGAGCTGCCCCATTGGTTGGGTCGGTTTTGGCGCGCCGTCCCGTCCGCGCTCCCTATTGGCTGGCGGGGGCCGTCCCGAGACGCGCGCCGTGGTTGGAGGGCCCGGGCGCGCTGCGCCGGATCATGCGCCTCCTTGCTTGATCTCTGGGTCTAGGTATCCCGAGAACGAACTGGCCAGGTCTCGGGGAGGTTCGTGTGCCGCAGGTTGTGGGAGGGCATCAGCCTAGGCATGCCTGGCTGTCTCAATGAGCCGGAGCAGCCGCCTTTTGGCCGTGTAACTGGCGGTGATCCATCCGAGGGGGTCCGCACACTGGGCTCGTGGGAGGAGGTCCCTGAATCCTGCATCACCCATTTGAAAAAGAATATTGGACTTGGTGACACTTTTTTCACCAGTTTATCAGGATTTCCTTGGACCCAGTCCTATACTGGAGTTTTCAGTCTAGTTGTTTTTAAAAGCTAGAGAATAAAAAGTAAGGGTGCAAGGTTGTTGGCGGCAGTGTGATAAACAGTGAAGGATTAGACTTGATCCGTGGCCTTCAACTTTTTAAATCGTGACACGTACGAAAAGCACACCTTGTATCACAATTCAGGACGCAACCCTCCAACCAAATTAGAACCTTTACGAAGCAGTATTTATCCTTCCCGTGCCACACACTCTGCTGTATTCTCGTCTCTTCAATTCCACTCTGTTCAGTTACATTTTCCAAACACCCGTTAAGTGATTTTGGGATCCCAGGCCCCGCGACCTGCAGTTTGAAAATCATTGCCCTGGTTCAGTTTAGTTGGTCCCGACCAGCATTTGCTTAACGTGAAATAGGGTAGAAAATAGGGTACATCGCACAATTAGATTAAATTTTGCATCCTAAATTTTTTTGCTTGTCTTTCTGTGTGCTAGGGCATAGTGTACAATGTATTAACAAGTGATGGATCATATGCCCTGAGTAAAGAAATGCATGGCCACAGAAATCAGGGAGATCTGTTTCAGAGACAGACTTGGTCGGGGAGTTTAGAGTTGGGCTTGGGGTGAGTCTGGCCCAGTGATCTGTTAACATTACATACCTCTTCATCTCCTGCTCCCTCTTTGCTTCGATCAGTGTCTCAGTTCGTAGTGGTAGTTAAACATTCCCTACACACGTTAATGCATAATCTTGATTGGATATTGAGTTATCGCTGGTTACCAGAGCCAAGTTTATTGTAGCTTAAATCTGCCTTTGAAACAGCAAAGTTAGGGTGCTGTTCTTTAGGACAGATTTGGGCATACCCACATATCTGTTTTGCTTTTTCCTGGTGACCATTTTTCAGATCTTTGAAAGCCTTGTATTTAATCCAGGACATCATCATGTTTTGTAAATTTGTTGGGAACACAGATTTTCCTTTTGGAACAAGATTTTTCCAGCCAGAATTGTGTGTTTGTGTGTATATAAAGTAGAGATAATTAAAGTCATTAGGTTTAGTCACTTGTCATTGACAGGACTGAGTTTGGGTACAGTGAGAAAAGATAGTTCTTTTTTTTATTGTTACGATTTTTTTATTTTGATTTCTACAGTTGTACTTTCAACAGCAGAAAAACTAGATTTCACCTTCCGATGCAGATGATACTCTGTTTTCGAATTAACTAGTCTTCTGTTCGTTGCCAGGTGTATAATGAATCCCAGTATGAAGCAGAAACAAGAAGGAATCCAAGAGAATGTCAAGGTATGTGATACAATCACTTTGATCTGTTGTAGATAGCATGTAGTTAGATGTTTTTTGACGTAATTTAGTCAAATTTAACCTGGCTACAATTTCAGTAATCCTTTAATTACTCAATTTTTAGTCTGAGGACAAGTAATAATAGAGAACTGTTTAAAAATTAATTATGGTTGAATGTTAAGTTTTCTGATCCACATACACGGGATGTCTTTCCATTTATCTTGGTCGTCTTTACTTTCTTTCAACAAATGTTTTGTAGTTTTCAGAGTTTTGAGTTTTTCACTTTTTTTTTTGTTAAATTCTTTCCTAAGTATTTTATTCTTTTTAATACTTTTGTAGACGGGATCATTTCCTTAATTAAATTTTTGTTGTGCTCATTGCTACTGTATAGAAATAGTTGATTTTTGTATCTTGATCTTGTATCGTGCAACCTTGCTGAACTTAATAGTTCTAATAGTTGCTTAGTAGATTACTTAGGATTTTCTGTATACAAGATCGTTATTGCTTCGTTTCTACTCTTACATTTCATGAAATGATTTTCTTAAAACCCTTTGCGTGTATCTTCAGATTAGTGTCTGACCACAGAGACATTTTGCATTTTGCATTATATTGAATATATTTCCAGGGTACATCATACTCATTACCATCTAACCTGCTTGTTCTGCCACACTTTTTGAATCCCTGTTTTATACTGTCACTGGAAATCTTCTCCCAAATGTTTATTCTTGTAACAGTTAAGGACAGAGCTTAATTTTGGGTTTGTAATTTTGACAGGCTTTGCTCTTACAGTTCTAAATGGATTTACAACTTAGCTAGATCTTACCACACAACTTAAACTATATTCTTAGGGTTCTTGGGAGTGAGACCACGTTGTCAGGAAAGTTTATCAGTTTGCAGGTTTAAATTGTATAGTATAAATAAAAGCCTTTTGTAAGTGATAGCAGATGCTTTTTGATAGGTTGTTTTGTTTACCTTGCCTTACGCAGTGTGTTCCTTACTCTATTTTTCTTTAATACTTTGCATTGATAATTTGTGGATTTGATTCTATCAGCTTCCATTCAGGATGGTGACATCTTCCCACTGTGCATTGTAGGTGTGTGTTTTTAAACTTTTTATTGTGAAAATCGTCAAATATTCAAAAGTAGAGTCAACAGTATAATCTCAGTTTACTTCTCCCATTTTCATCAGTTATCAGTATGCAGCCAGTCTTGTTTCGTCTTCATCTCCATTCACTCTTACCTCCACTGAATTATTTTGAATCAAGTCCCAGACAAATAATTATATAATTCCAGCAGATCCTAATATTTAAAGAGAAGTCTAATCTTTAGTAGCTATAGTAAAACTAACTAGGAAGTAAAAGGATTTGGGTTCTGTTTGGTTCTGGTTCTGCCTCCAAAACTGTGACGTTGACGTTGGGTGAGTTATTTAGCCTCTCAATCTCAGTTTACTCATCAGTAAAATGAGGGAATTGGACTGAAACTAGACCACTAAGAGTATATTTAAGAGTTCATGGATTCCTTGCCAGTTATACATAAATTCTAAGTGTGCTCTTGTTTGTTTTTTGAGGTAGTTCACAGAATCTCAAATTGTTTTCTAAAGAGATTAAGACCCATTGATATAAAACAACCTTTCTGGCTCGAAAGAGTTTACTATTGTAATGCATGATCTGTATTAATAAAATGATAATAACAATATTACATTTGGGGGGCTGGATGCTGTAAAGTTTACAGGTATAAAAGTTAAATATTAGAAGTTGTCCTTTTTTGTGACAGTAATGTAGCTGGCTTCTTTGGCCTTTATTAGTAGCAAACATTTAAATAAATTCACACCTCCTACTATTAAGGTTCCAAAGCTTTATTTTCTTCTATTTGTCTGGAGACTTTTGACTAATCTATAATCTAAATTGTATCTGAAAGTTGGTGTAATATTTGTTCTCCCAGTAACTGGCATTTGTTCTTCAGTTAAATAGTGAGATAATAATCAGCAGTAGAAACTTTACCGTGGGAAAGGTGAATTCTAGTCGTGTGAAGTACAGTGTGGAATCAGTAACTTTCTCACGCTGCTTTGGTATCATGTTCTTGCTAACCTTGTTTGAGTATTCACCATTGTTTGCTATCCCATGGTGGCAGTATAACTAATGATTTTTTGCAAAAATAGAGAGAGCTTTTAGAACAGGAAATATACAGGAATGTATTTACATATTACAGGGAAGGCAGTATTTTTTTCAAAACAATAGCTTGGGCATTTTAGAGTTTCAGTACACCTCAAGCACTGACATTTTCACTGTCTGCTAACGAATGGGCTTGAAGCAAAACTGCTTCTACAGTCAGGTGAAGGCTGAAGGTGGGGAGTAGGTCTTCTTACATGTGGTTTTGTGTAATGTACTTAAAAATTATATTTGAATTAATATAAATGTGTTAGGGGATATTCACAGTTTAAGGGAAGCCTGAGATAAATCCTTTTGATTAGGGGAAGAAGTATTTTGCAGTATAAATAATTGACCTTTCCCTCCAATTTGCCTCTCTTGTGGGTTTCTACAAAAAAGGTTATGATTTTGGTAAATTCCTAGTTTCTTTGTGGAAGATCTTTTTAAAGAGGGAATACAAATATTTCCGTTATACCGCAATTCCATCACACATGGATTGAAGTGTTAGGAATTTTGTCATATTTTTGTTTTAACTAAACAAATGACTGTATGACCATAGCAGCAGCACCTATTGCAGTGGGAGGAGAGAAGCTACTTGTTTGTGTGTTGTCCATGTGTAGCATTATAAACTTACACAGCTGATCAAATATTAGTGTCTTTAGCATTTCTTTTTTGTTGTTGTTAATTATAGTGGGACTAACGCAGTAATAATCCATATGGAAACTTAGTAACCAGATAATTTATTATCTTGACTTTCAGAGTAGTCCTGTTCCAAGAAGAACTCTGAAGATGATTCAGCCTTCTGCGGCTGGGTCTCTTGTTGGAAGAGAAAATGAGGTAGGTATTTTTGGGCTAGAATCAGGTACAGATGATAGTACCTTTACTTTAAAAACATTTCAAAGATTTTCTTGGTCAGAAATACCTAAATCAATGAAATTAATGGAAATAATATAAGAGTAACAATTTTGTATCCCCCACCGAAGTGGTTTTTGTTTTAATTGTTCAATTTAGTAAGTTCTAAACTGGTATGAATACCTGTAGTAGAACTGGAATGACGTAATAAGTTATGAATTAGCCTAGAGGTCTAATGTTGATGTTTTGAGAATAAAAATTGGGCTCATTCATTTAGCCCTGTAGAAAAGGGTGAGGGTTTTTAGACTTTTGCAGGTTTAAAATAGTGCCTTTCCATGGTACTGAATTATTTAAACAATAAAAATAAATTTAGCTAAGTCTTAGACCCAAGTCTAATCCAAAATAGTTGCTGCAAATAGAGTACAACTGTACATTTTGGTAACGTTTTGAGTTGTGTAATTTTTTAAAAGATCCAAAGGTATCAAAAAGATACAGATATGTGAGTGCTCTATATTTAATACATAAGTGACAAAACCGCCCAGGTTTCTTACTCAGTAAAACAAAATAAGTGAGACTGATGTATACATTTGTATTATAGTTGGTTAAAGGCTTGCCCAAAAGAAAACATTGGAATGATCAGTTAATATCTAAGACTTCCAGCTCTGGAGTTGTTACTATCCCAGAACATAGTGAAAATAAAGACCTTGGAGGAGTCACTCAAGAAGCATTTGATCTTATGATTACAGGTATGAAAAAATATATAATTTAAAAATTTTTTAATTATAATAAAGGTAAATATTATTTATTATACTGTTATGAATTCTGCCCACAGCCTCTTAACCTATTAGATATTTTACTTTTGTGTTCTCGATAATTTAAAATTGCTTATGGTTGTAAATATATAAAACACTAACTGGTAAGACCCAGATATGGATGAAATATTAAAGAAAAAGATAGTGATTAATATGGCAGCTCTGATACCGGACTTACAAGACTTAGAAATAGTCTTTCAGAAGACATATGTCTAGGAATGAATTTGAAGAAAGGAATTAGAAGATACCAAGAGAATGTGAAGTAAGGGAGCCAACAGGAACAATAAAGGTGGGGAAGATGAATGAGAAGCATGTGCTGTAGTAAATACTATTTTTTAATGGAATGCCAGTAGAAATCAAAAGAGGAAGCTAATGATGTTTTGTAAGCAGTATGATTAATTCTGTACTACTCATGGGTCATTGGATATTATTGCTGAGGAAAAAATATGAGACCTAGACAAGTTAATCGACTTACTCAAGGTTATAGTGACATTTGGACACATTTTGAGTTGCCAGGAAGACAGTGGGGTTTTATTAGGCAAAACTGGAAAAGCTGACTGCATAGAAACAAAGAAGCTCTTCAATAATGTAAAATAAACAATAGGATTTGTGATACTCATTTCTAATTTGACTAAAATTAACAAAGGTTGATGGAAGAAACATTACAGTTAAATATGGAAACAAACAACTATACATCATATTGCTAACATAACCACATAAATGAAAAAAAAATTAATCCATGTAACTTGAACACAGAACTCTGACTATAGGCCCTTGGGGGACATATTATGAGGATTAAAAGAACTACAAAGAAATCTTGAATTTAATTTTTGCTGGCAGTGGTATTGATATAGCAAGTTTGAAAAAAGTTTGTGTGTGTTTTAGGATTGAACAGATGAGTGATACGCTGATATTGCTGGGTAGATGGTATGGTGACAGGAGATACACTATAATGGGGAAGGAAAGGAGGAACCCTGTAGTGGAGGTGGAGTGTTGGTATAAACTGATGACTTTAAAAAAGAGCTTCTCTTAACTCTGCCAGTGAAAGAGCCCAGAAACATGTGACAAGAAGCACAGCCACGCCTGGTTTTTGGTTTGTAATCTCTATTCTCTCTTAAAGCTCCCTGGAGAAGTGGCTGCTTCCAGGACTCGGGCAGGGAAACTGTAGAGTGAGCTTGGAACCTCTCGTGTTAGAAAATAAGGAAGTACTCAGAAACTGATGGATGTGTTAAAAGGACAAGGAGTCTGCTTGAAGGGGTCTCCCTGGCTAAATTTAGGAAGATTTGAGCATCAAAATGAATAAGGACAAGAATGGAGTGTAACACACTGAAGTAGAACAGAAGACATGAATCCATACTGCTAATTTTGTTCTGATTTGGGGTAGGGAAAGTTCTTTTACAGAATAACGCCAACTACTAAATGTAGAAGGAATTTCATAAATAGAAAATCACTCCTTTTCATCCACCATAGAAGTAATAGATTTAAGCAAGAAACATCAGAGTTAAAATTGGGTGAAAGGTTGGTAGGGAACTGGATGTTAACACAGACTCAAAAATTTTACTCTGTAAATCATTTATTTGTTACTAAAGGAAAAAAGTATCTTTCAAGGGAGAAATCATCTGCAAATTTAACATCTCCAGCATTGTGACAGATGAGTGTGTGCTCCCCAGATGGAACATTGAGAAGGATACAGCGTACTTACACAGGTTTCTGCCAGAATGTTTAGCTTGAATCTAACCATGAAACTGGACAAATTAAATTTAAAGACAGTGTAAAACTAACTGGCCTTAACTTTTCACAAATGCCAGTGTTAAACAAATTTAAAAAATACAAACACAGAAAGCAAATGTTGCACACACCTTTAACAACCTCGGTGAAAGTTACATGTGTATCGTAGTTGTGTTGAGATTCTTTTGAAGGACTGGAATCTTCACAATGTTGGGAAAAATGTTTTTAATTGATTTGGTTTCCTAACTTTAATCTTTTAAAAATGGGTATTGTGGAGTACTGGGTAAGATAGTAAATTTTTTTAAATACAAGAAATTATTGGGTTTTATAGCAGTATATAATAGTAATTTTCAAAGTTACATGTAAAATTTTAATTTATTTTAGAAAATCCATCTTCTCATTATTGGAAAGAAGTGGCAGAAAAACGGAGGAAGGCTCTCTATGAAGCACTTAAGGAAAATGAGAAAGTATGTACTGAATATAATTTGTGGCATTTTAAACATTCTGGGATTACTTTCCTTCTGCTGCTTGAGCATATTTTTATTAGAGCAATATAAACTAGCTTTAATGCCGGCCTAATGAAAGTTTAATTAGGAAACTGTTACTGGAATTAAGTACAAAAAGAAACCGGTTGTGTTGAGAGCCAAAGATAGCACCTTTGTTAGGAACTTTGTGCTAATGTATCTATCAGTTATACACTTGGAGGCACATAATTTGGTTTATAGCTTGGCAAATCTGTGGAATACTGAACTTCTTAATTTATGTCACATAGCTTCATAAAGAAATTGAACAAAAGGACAATGAAATTGCCTGCCTGAAAAAAGAGAATAAAGAATTGGCAGAAGTAGCAGAGCATGTCCAGTACATGGCCGAGGTCATAGAGGTGGGTATTTCAGCCTGCACCTGACTCAGAATCATCCCTTTTTCTAGAAAGTGTGATCAGTAAGTGTTTGGGTTCTAGAATCGGATTTCTGGGCTGGAGTCTTAGCTCCCTGCCTGGCACCGTTAAGTTTGAGTCAAGCAGATTATTTATCCTGCCGGGGCTTCATTTTCCTCATCTATAAAGGGGGAGTAATAGTGCCTAGTTCGTAGGCTTCTTATGAGAGTAATGAATTACGATAGAAAAATGAGGGAACTGCCCACAGTGAGAGCCCAGTAACTAGTGGATGCTATTATTTACTATTATGAAACATCGCTTTTCTTGTAGGGAGATATATATGGAAATATATATGGAAAGATATATATAAGGAAAAATATATGGAAAATCATATTTCACAGCTGACAAATTTTCAGACCGTTTTAAATTTAACTTTAATGCCAGTCAGTACTGTCATTTATAAAATTGGTAATTGGTGTGCTGAATAACTTACCTGACTTTTTAATTTTTTTACTTTACTTTTTTTTTTTTAAATGCAAGGAGATTTGTTTGCACAAGACATGAGCAAACAAATATGTGTATCTAACACTAATTAGTCAACATTAGGAACAGGTGCTATCTGACTTTTAAAATTTCTAATTTGGAGGTAGTTAATGTGTTTATAAGAAGAATTAGCCTGATGAGAATTACTTTACCAGTCTTGGCTTAAAAAATACATCTTAAACTTGTTCATGTTTGTAAAAAATCATCTTGTTGATGGGAAGAAAGTTTTTTGTTTCTTTGCAAACATGAACAAGTTTAAGATGTATTTTTTAATTTGGGTTTTTTTTTCCCTGGTTTGTTTATTTATTTACTTAGGGTCAGGGGATGTTTTTCAAATCAAAACTTTTCTTGCACTGAATTTCTGCCTTAGATTTTAGAGCTGTGACAGAACTCATATTTGAAGTTTTCATTTGGAAGCACTGTATGAGCTCCTTCAGCTGCCATGAAAGTACTGGTCCCCAGCAGATGGGAAATTAGGAAACGTGGTCCTTCACCACACATAGTTTGAGAAGTGCTGATTCAGACTGTTCTGAAAGCATGTGAGTGCTTTAAAAAAAAGAAGCAAGCAAATTATTAAACACTGTGTCTTTGCAAAAATATGCTCTAACATGGTAAAGACTTTGATATAACACTTGACTACTTATAGGTGAACTTAATTGAGAGATATTATGAAATAAAACCTCACTACAGCACTGAGGGTCAGTTACATCAGCATACTGATAATAGGCTTGGATTTTAATGTTTTTACAATAAATTATTGGTTTATTCTTTAAAAGAGACTGAGTAATGAACCTCTGGATAACTCTGAATCACCGGATAGTCAGGAATTTGAATCTGAAGAGGAAACTGGTGAGGATTTGGAAGTAGAAGACTCAGAAGTTGGTGCTTGTGCTGAAGAAGTTGTCTCTTCCTCTACAGATGCAGAACCCTGTACATGAAATTCAGTAATATTTGACTTTTGAGAAACATACTGCCAAAGTTTACCTCCACTATAGTCCTTTGTAGCAGAGCAAATAACTATATAGTGCAAACTTGGAATCGAACTTCCTTGTTTGTATCATGGGACACTATTATTGTATTAAAATACAAATACTGTGTATTTTTAATCTATGATGTTTTGTGTAAATAGCATTTTCTCAGTTGTCAGACATGACTTGTGTATATGATAAATAAACTTCATTCTATTGAGCATTGTGTCTGTCTTGGGAGAATGAAGTACAGGACTGTATGTAGAAAATTCGTCTATTTCTGTGCTTTTGTTTCCTTTCTATTCTCCTGCTAACGATCTTGGAAGAAACAAGGGGAAAATGAATTCCTCCCTCTATAGACTGAGATAGCTGAGGTTTTAACTCATAAACCTGGTTGTACCTCAAGCTCCCTGGATGGAATACTGATTTCCAGACCCCATGCCCAGATATTCTAAGTAGGAGTGTGAGAACCTAGTTTCTAAAGCTCCCCAAGTGAATCTGTTTAGCCACGTAAAGGCTCAGCTGGCTGGTATGATCGTGCTCTTCTTGGAAGCTTAAAATGTTGGGTGGTGGTAGTCCTCCAGAGAAACAAAGGGGGAGTGGGTGAAGAGACGCAGGAATAGCTCAGGGTTCTGAAATGTTCCATTCACACGTGTTACATACATGTATAGTACGAAGTATATACACTGAAGCAATATCAAGTAAGAGTGGGGTGAAATTAATGAGGATTTCCCATATGTACTATTTTGAAGGAAGAAAAGGACAAAATAAAGGGAAATTGTTTGCGAAGTGTTCAGCTTTGGGGTTAAGAACTCTGACAATCATTCAAACAGCTTTGTATAAATTGGTGATAAAGAGCAGCATCAAGCATTAAAGGGTGATTTAGCAAGTTATTTTTATAGAACTTTAATTTTCTTATCTCAAATATTGAGATAAAGTCCCTCTTTTTTTGTGAGGATTAAAACCTTTAATTTACATTTAAAGAGCTATGTGAGGCCAGTGGCTACTCAGTGCAGCTCTATGTTTTAGATTTGAGTCACTGGCCCAAAGATAGAATTAGAACAGATAAATTTTGTTACGTGTTTGTTTTTTACCATAATAAAAAATAATTTTAAAGAAGAATTAGGAATATTCTTTTCTATTCGATTAGGGGGAGGGGGAATCATCTGAGAGGCTGTTAGAAGGAGTAAGATAGAGGAAAGCTAGTAGAAAGTATTCCTGGATAAAGCAAAAAATGGATTGCCAGGATTTGGTGGCAGGGAGCACAAACACAAGAGGGAACTGAAAAGGTTTTTAAGATTTAATGTTAGATCTAAAACTATTAACCCTCTAAAAGAAAATGTAGGAGAAAATTTTAGTGACCTTGGATTTGGTAAAGACTTCTCAAAAGATACAAATCACGAAGTATATTGTAAATCTGACTGTAAAAATCAAATACTTTATCCATTCATCTCTCGGCAGACATTAAGTTTGCTTTCATGTCTTGGTTATAGTAAATAGTGCTGCTATGAACATTGGAGTGCATGTTATCTTCTGTGTGTGTGTGTGTTGCATAGACCATGTTTAATGACCATAATGCAATTAAGTTAGATGACAATAACAAATGAATTAACTAGAAAAATCCACTTGAAAATAAAAAAATCACACGTCTAAATAACTCATGTCAAAAAGGAGAAAACGATGAAAATTAGAAAATACCTAGAACTAAATAATACTGAAAATACTACATATCAAAACTTGGGAGATGCAGCTAGAATGACACTTAAACAAAATCTGTGTAATAAAACATATTCATAAAGACTGAAAAGTTAATGAACTAAGCTTATTCCAACTTAATTAGAAGCAAAATGATAGAATAAATGCCAAGGTAGTAAAAGGAAATATTGAGCAAAGTAACTAAAATTAGAAATATGTCTAATAGAGACAATCAGCAAAGTCAAAAGTAAATGCTTCAAAAAGACTAAAATAATTATCAAATATCTGCGAAGGTTCTTAGGGAAATTATAACTATGAGGTGTATAAGATGGCACACAATGCATATGTAACAGAATAAAAAGATAGTAAGAAATTGTCATGAACACCTTTATAGTAAATAGAAAACATAGATAAAGAAATACCTGGGGAAAGTGCCAAAAGTTATTAAAAACAAGAGAGATAATATATGAAAAGTTCTATAACAAAGAAACCATCAGTTGTTTAGAATTGTCCCATATAGAAATACAGGGCCCAGAGAGTTGTACCCATGAGTTCTACCAAACGTGATTCCAATATCATATAAATTCTTTCAGAAACTATGAAGAGGGAACATTTCCCAACTCATTTTATAAGGCTGGTATACCTTGATATCTAAATCTAACATCTCAGGAGATGAAGAAAAGCATCCAGTAAAATTCAACATCTACTGAATTTTTTAAAAATACACTATTACAAGCTAAGCATAAGAGAAAATTTCCTTAAACTGATAAAGGGTATCTACAATAGCGTCATAGCAACCAACATACTGAATAGTTTAAATTTTTTTAATTCTCTTCAAAATTAAGAACAAGTCAAAAATGCTGTGACTGCTTATATTCAGCATTATATTCTATTTGAGCAATACAAGAAAAAAAAGTCATATAGATTGGAAAGGAGTAAACAAAACTATCATTATTCATAAGTGTTAAGATTATGTATGAAGAATAGCCAAAGGAATCTGCAGATTATTCAAATTAGGATAATTTAATAAAGTCAGCTACAAAATCAATATGTATGCTGACCATTTCTATACACCAGATTAAACTTCAAAAAGTAAAATTAACAAAAATTTGCAAGAAATGAGAGAAAATTATACAACTGTTAAACTATATTAAATATTTAAAGTAATGAATCTAAATAAGATCTAAATAAATGGAGAAATACATCTTATTCATGAATATGAAGAATCAAAACTATAAGAATATCAATATAATACTATTCCTACTTCAATTCCAATAGGGTTTTTCACAGAACTTAAGAAGTTGACTCTAAAATTCATGTGGAAAACCAAAGGACACTTCTGAAAAGAAAAATTAGTGTGGGGGACTTACTGTACCAGATTTTTAAAATTATTGTGAAATTATCAAATTATGGCAGTGTCCTTTTATTGTAGGGACAAATAAATTGAACAGTCCAATAGAACAAGTTAGAGAGTTCAAAGACAGACCCACAAATATTTGGAAACTTGATAGATGAGAACTGGCATTGCAGATAAGTAGGAAAAAGGAAAGCTCATTCCTTAAATCTTTCTGGGAGAATTAGTAGTCTTAACAGAAAAATTGTACATTGTAATCTTGTCTTAAATAACAGGGAGTGCATGTATCTTTTCAAATTAGAGTTTCTTTTCTCCATCGTGAGAACACCAACTTACATTCCCACCAACAGTGTAGGAGGGTTCCCTTTTCTCCATAACTTCTCCAGTATTTAGTATTTGTAGACTTTGTGATGATGGCCATTCTGATCTGTGTGGGGTGGTACCTCATTGTGGTTTTGATTTGCATTTCCTAATGATTAGTGATGTTGAGCATCTTTTTATGTGCCTGCTGGCCATCAGTATGTCTTCTTTGGAGAAATGTCGATTTAGGTCTAATGCTCATTTAAAAATTTTTTTAAAATATTGAGCTGTATAAGCTGTTTGTATATTTTGGAAATTAATCTCTTCTTGGTCACATCGTTTGCAAATATTTTCTCCCATTCCATAGGGTGTCTTTTTGTTTTATGATTTCCTTTGCTGTGCTGAACTTAATTTTTATGAGGTTCTTTTAAGCAGTGGCACTTCTCATAAGTTTAGTTATTGCAGTAATTCTGAAAATTTATATAGAATTGTTTGACTACCTAAGAGAAAATGCTGAAGAATAATGTACCGACTTTTATTATTTATTTCAGTTTTCTAGGGTAATACAGTGGTGGAGATGGCTGTATCATGTTACTGGATTTAGAGAAATTAATTCCTATGAAAACCAATTAGGAAATACAGCACCTCTGCAAAATTCTCAGGCCATCCGGACCAGTTCTTACTGGCCAACATTTGTAAGTGATATTTTAGAGAAGTGTAGTCTTTAAGCTCCTTCATACAAGCCAAGTTATTGCAGGTGATAATTGAGAGAACATAGCAACTCCAAAACTGAACCAGGAGGTTGCTGTTTAGTTCACTTTCTGTGCTAGGCTCAAGTTTGTTATCAAAAAGACCAACGAGAATAGGAAGGAACTGCAGGTGTTTGGCTTTTCTCTGGTTGACAGGGTTTAAGTAGCACCAACACGCCACACTCTGGAGAAGCAGGATCTTTACTTTTGGTACCATCTCGTAATTCTGCAACAAGTGAGCTACATCTTGCATATACTCAGCTGCAAAATTTCCAGCAGTTGGTCCCCCTGTAAAACAAACATTTGCATTTCCAGAAGTATCTGATGTATCTAGTAACTGGTGACATCTGAGGGCTCATATGTTCATATTCTCGTCACTACATATGGGACACTGGCTACTTTGAATTTATCTCTTTTTCTCCTCCCTGTCCCGTGTGCTCCTGTGAAGGTGGAGAGTGCGTGCTGATCAGCAGGGAGTAATATGAGGAGCCCTGGAAGGTCCCTGTCTGCCAAAAGCTCCTCCCTGGTTTCTTTAATCAGGCAAGTAGGGGTCAGTATTTCAAGGTGAATAAAACCTGACTGGGTTCACTTAGCAAATCTTCCTCATGGTCTCATTCCTGAGTCTCTGTCTTCAATACTTGAAAAAAGAGCAGAGCATTAGAGCAAACAAAGAGTAAACCAAAAGGCTGAGCTGCAAAGTCAGAATCTAACAGTAAGAGAGAGGTTTTTCCTGAGTTACCCATCGCTGTCCTCTCTCCTTACGCATTTCTCAGCCCTCTTTTGCAGACTTGGGACCAACCTGGTGCTTGACTCTACTTCTATCACATACCTGAACCTCAGATCTTCTTAGTTCAAATCTCCAACTCCAAGAAGGTACTAGAGAAGGCGGCATTGGTGGAGACAGCTTAGATGGTGAGGAGTAGCTGGCATAGTTGGCTGAATTCTAGCCACTGGAGTTTTGTCCCAGCTTGGATTCCTCTTACTTGCACTACCAAAGTCCCATGGTCCCAAGAATATTCTATTCAATGTAAAGTTTTAGCCAAAACTTGGGCATAAGCCTGTTCCATTGTTTTGACTAGCACAGCCAGGGCTAAATAACATCAAGTTAAGTGATGCAGATCCCTTTATCAGAGCTAACTGTACCTCACATGGTGATTACCACTGTGCAGGGGACTGAGCCTGCCTCACAGCGGATGCCACTGACCCCTCCTTCACATGGGGGTCCTGATTATCTGTCATCTCTCTAATCCTATGCTGCTGGTTCTCAATCATTCTGACACCCAGGCCCCCCTGGTCCTTGAAAACAGTCACTATTTTCTCTCATGGACACGATTCTGTGAAAGATTTAGTCTGTCATACTATATCTAACTAACTCATTTTCCCATTTAAAAAATAATCAACCGACCTATGACACTAACAGCTACCAACCAGAGCTTCTGATTAGGAGATGTGTTGTTGAGGACTATCTATAATTTTTTTTTTACATATCTCGAAATTTATTAGAAAAAAATGAAGCAAGTTTGGACGTGGCAATCATTTAGAGCGATGTGTGTTTAAATGGTTTACCATTTAACTTTGTAGCCAAGTATACATTAATAGTTGCTTTTCACTCATGCACCTACTGGCTTTCCTGGTGGGTGTTTTAAGAGCCTTATGTTCTTATTGATTTTTCTAAACTATTGTCTGGGTAATGCATTTTTATAAGATAAAAAATAAAATATCAAGTAGTTTTTACCCTGTAAAAGGGTTGAAATTACACCAATTCAGTGTAGGTTCTTTGATTTTTTTTGATATTGAAAACTTTGATAGGCAATTTCAGTATATGTATATATATATGTATTTTTAATTAATACAAGCAGAAAAATAATTAGTAATTTATTTGATGGACACATTCTTTTAAAGTGTGAGATTGTTGAGGAGATAGTAATTATCTTTGGTGGTATAAAGACCAAAAACTAATAATTTAGGCAAAGGAAATATTATTGGGATGTTAGACTAGAGCTCTGAGAACCACTCCCTGATAGTATTGTAAAGGCAAAAAGATTTTGGAACACCTGTTTCAGCAGAGCTGGTTAAGTCAGTACCTGTAAAGGCCAATAGTCCGATTTTATAGGCAGCTTGAGCTCTCTTTTCAATGGCGAGAGATTGATCCTTCAACATATTGCCAAGCACCACAATTTTTTCTTTGTGAAAAATACTCTCAGCTGGAGGGATGTGTTTTTCCTCCTTCTTAGTGAAAAAGCCCTTAACGATGACACTCCAGCATTGCTGGAGGTGGTGATACAGCCGCACAAAATGTCGATAAATCTGAGTCCAAAACTGCACATAATAAGCCTGGCTCTTAGCCATTGTGTTAAAAGGCCCAGGGCGCTTCGGTTACACCACGGGCAGTGACAGAAGTGAACAGTCAGGAACTCTGGAATGCAGCACTTAGCAACACTGCGGAATGGAGTACACGAACCGGGGGAAGCAATGTACACCCAGATTCTTCCTTCAGCCTGGCATTGAAGGCCTTCTACAATTTGAGCTCAACCAAGCTTACTTTGACTTCTCTGGTGCACACACACACAAATCTCAGCTTAAACTAGTCAAGTTTCTCCTAACACACACCAAGCTCATTCTGTCTTTGCACGTTTGGTAAGGCAATGACTTCTAGGAACTGGCCTATTCTGTGCTGACTGTTACAGCATGTACTCAACTTCTTTCCATTGATCTTTCATGCCTGTTTGGCTTGTTTGTTACATAGAGTTTTTCTCTACATCATGGATTTCCTACATTGATCCTATTTTGGAAGCAATCAAAAAAGATCTTCCGGGGGGGAGAGTATAGGTCAGTGGTAGAGCACGTGCTTAGCATGCACAAGGTGTTAGGTTCAATCCCCAATCCCTCCATTAAAAAACAAAACAAAACTGAAAAAAAAAAAACTTTCCATAGCTCTCACCATCACATCCACCCACTGATCTGCGTCTGTGCCTGTATACTCTGACTTCCCTCCTGTTACATGGATGTCTTCTCCACTTAACACAGATTTCAATCAATCCCTCTCACTCCATTCAAGGAGACTGGTCACAATTCTTCTCTTGCCTCATTAATGTTTCCATCTCAGCGGGGTCCTTTGCATTATCAACAAGCACGCTGTCCTTTTTCTCATCAAAAAAAAGAAAACAACGTTCTTGACCTCATCTAGCCCCTCCCCCTAGTCATTACACATTCATTTTTCTGCTCCCCTTTATATAAAAACTCTTCAAAGTGCTGCCATACTAGCCATTTCAAATATTCTTTCATTCTCCCTTGGATGTACTCCAAATTGGATTTCAACCCCACAACTCGACTGAAATTGTTTATCAGGGATACTGATGAGTTCCATTCTGCTGAATCCAGTTCTCAGTCCTCAGCATTTGTGACTCATTTTTCCTTGAAACACTTTTTTTTTTACCTGGCTTCTAAGATGTCATACTCATTTAATTTTTCCCTACTGTCCACTGTTCTTTTTCCTTTGCTCCTTCCCCCTCTCCTTTCTGACCTCTAAATACTAGTGTCCCAAGTCTCAGTCCTTGTACTTCTTGTTTTCTTTCTGTACTTCCTGGATGAAATAAAGGCTTTAAGTAAAATCCATCTGCTGAAGACTCCCAATTTTGTAATTTTACCTGGTTTCTCACCTGAACTCCAAACAGTTACTTTCAATCACCAACTTGATATCTACATTTGGATGGCTAAGAGGCTCCCTCAACTTAACATGTCCAAAGCAGAATTCCTAGTCTTTCTCTCAGAACCTGCTGCTTCTCAGTTTCCCAGTCTTGGAAGATGGCATTCCATCCTTCCAGCTGTTCAGACTGAAATTTTTGGATTCACTCTTGGCTGCTGTCTGTTTCACATTTCATTTCTAACTGATCAAAAAATCCTATTGGCTCTACTTTCGAAGTAGAAATTTGGACACCTGCCAAAATTGGGACATCCTCAAAATGTACTTCCTGTTCTCTTCAAATATAGTAAGTGTGGAAGTTTAAAAATGGGGGAGGGCATTACTGTTCTAGATTAAAAGAGCCTAAAGAGGAGCGTTACCATATGATCCAGTAATCCCATTCCTAGCCATATATCCAGAGAAAACACTAATTCAAAAAGATGCATGCACCCCAATGTTCATAGCTGCACTATCTACAATAGCCAAGACATGGAAGCAACCTAAATGTCCATTGACAGATGACTGGATAAAGAAGGTGTGGGGCGGGGGTGTGTGTGTGTGTGTGTGTGTACCACTCAGCCATAAAAAAGAATGAAATAATGCCATTTGCAACAACATGGATGGACCTAGACATTACCATAAAGTGAAGTAAGTCAGACAGAGAAAGACAAATATCATATGATAGAATTTATATATGGAATCTAAAATATGATATGAAGGAACTTATTTACAAAATAGAAACAGCTTCACAGACATAGAAAACAAACTTATGGCTACCAAAGGGGAAAGGGCAAGGGAGGGATAAATTGGGAGTTTGGGATTTGCAGACTAACTACTATATATAAAATAGATGAACAGCAAGGTCCTATTGTATACACAGGGAACTATATTCAATATCTTTTAATAAACCATAATGGAAAAGAATATGAAAAAGAATATACATATACATATATGTATAAAACGGAATCACTTTCCTGTACACTAGAAACTAACACAACATTGTAAATCCACTGTATTATAATTTTAGAGAAAAGAACCTGATGAGGCATGAGAACTAAATTAAACATGTAACCCATGGTTGGATCCTGTTTCCATATGCGTGTATATGCTATAAAGGCTATTAATGGGACAATGAGGGAAACATAGACCTGTATTTTCCAATATGGGACCCACTAGCCACATGTGGCTATGGGGCACCTGAAATGTGACTAGTCTGAATTGTGATGTGCTGTAAGTATAAAATACTGTATTTCAAAGATTTAGTATGAAAACAAGAATGCAAAATATCTTGCTAATAATTTTTATATTGATTACAAGTTGAAATAATTTGGATATATTAGGTTAAGTAAAACATTTTATTAAAATTAACTTCCCCTGTTCTTTTTACTTTTTTTGACGTGGCTACTAGAAAATCCAAAACATCAAACATGGTCCCTTTTTAAGGCCTTTGTGGTTATTGCCTCTGCCTGGGATGCTCTTCCCAGAGATACACACATACCCAGATGACTCACCCCATCGGTTCCCCAGATCATCCTCAAATATAAGTTTCTATTAGGCATTCCCTGACCACCCTCCTTGAATCTTGTAGTTTTTGCCTATCACGTCCCCCACCCCCAACATGGGCAATTATTATTCCTTTTCTGTCATACTATCTCCTCTTTCGAGGATACGAACCATGTCAGGGCAGGGATTTTTATGTCCCTTTTTTTTCTTCACTGCTGTAACTCCATTGCCAAGAAGAGTCCCCAGCATATTCATACATTAAAAAAGTAAGTATGCAATAGATACTTGTTGAGACGTTAAGAGAACTAGTTTTTAACAAATATTGTTCCCTACAAAAGGTGTACTTAGAATTTTCTCAAAAATAAAAAAATATTTGTTTTATAAGAGATACTGCCCCCAGGAAAATCTCAGGGACTCTTTTTACCCTCAAGGGGCTGCTCGTGGATACCGTAACTCTGAAACGCCGCTCTAGGACACGCGGTTTGCAGAGATGCCGCTGATTCGGATCACAAGGCATCATCACAAAGTACGTAGAAGAGAGAACATAGAAGCTTATTTTCTAAACAGTGCAGGCTCTACGTTATGGGCACCAGCCGTTACTGCAGCAAGGACAACTACCCATGATGGAGTCAGTCCCTGGGCATCAGTGAGGCGTGCACGTAGTGCCTATCAAGATTTCTTCAATTAGAGTACCTCCTAACTATATTGTTTATGCAAGCTGGCATTGGGAAGACATAAAGTTAAGGCCTTTGGGTGATAGAGAAATAAATGCATTGAGAGTGGCCAAGATTTGGGAGTAGGAAGACACTGAGCTCCATTCCTCACAAGCACATCTAAATTAAAACTATCTGCAGAACCACCATGGATGAAAAAGACACGAATCTACCAGAACAGATCTACAAGTAAAGACTTAACGAAGGAACCACAAGATGAGCAGGAGGGGCAAATCCCTTTCCCCGCGGTGGGCGACCCACACACTGGAGAATAATTACCGAGGCCCTCCCACAGGGGTGACAGTTCTGGGCCCAACGTCAGGCTCCCCCGCCGGGGGTTCCGGCGCCAGGAAGACCAGCCCGCAGAACAGTCGGCTTTGCTGGCTAGCGGGGCCTCAGTGCTGGAGCCCCACAGGCTTAAAGGCACACAGTGCACACAAACTCTCAGGCGCAGGGGGACCCAGGGCAAAGCAGTCATTTGACGGGAGCCTGGGCCAGACCTACCTGCGGGTCTTGGAGAGTCTCCCCGCGAGGCGGAGGGCGGCTGCGGCTTACCGGGGACACAGGCTCTGGTGGCGGCCATATCTGGGGGCCACAGGTGCTGCCACTGTGTGGGATCCTCCCTCCTCCCACTGGCTCGTTAGCGCCGGACCAGCCCCCACCCAACAACCAGTGCTGGGACGCCTCAGGCTAAATAACTAACTGGGCGGGGACTCAGCCCCACCCTTCAGCAGAACTGCCGCCTAACGACTAAAGAGCCCACAGCTGCCTCTGGGCTCGCCCCCGAGCACCGCCCCGCCCACCCGAGGGCCAGGACCCAGCTCGGCCCACCAGTGGACAGGCACGGGGCCTCCCGCCAGGAAGCCTGCACAAGTCTGGAGACCAGCCTCGCTCACGTCTGGGGAGACAGCGGAAGCAAGAAAACCATGATCCTGCAACACAGGCCAGGCCCTACCCTGGAACCAGCTAGTCCCTGGCCCTGCCCACTACCAGGCCAATGCAACCTGCAGGACACCCCAGACCCCATACCCAACTGTATCAGGAACCGACCCCCACCTCGCCCCTTCCCCCTAACCCCCTCCCCGAATATCTGAAAGGAGCTCTGGGATCCCTGGGCCCTGCAGCTAGACTCCAGGAACCAGCTCTGCCTGCCAGTAGTCTAAAACCAATTCCAGGACCTGGCCTCACCTGCCAATAAGAGGGCAACAGCCTCAATGTCTTTCGGGCCCTGACTCCGCCCACCAGTGAGCCAGCGCTAGCCCAGGGGCTCCTTAAGATTCCACAAGCAACCACCCTGTGACTGGGCCCTGCTAAACAGCGGTCAGCAGCATCCAGCATCCAGCATCCACACAAGGCAACCAACCAGCCTAGGGGCCAACCAAGCCTACCAGCCTGCCCAGAGTCGGCCCTTCCCAACAGGAGGGCCCACACAGCCCTCTTAGGGAGAACCCCTGAGCGTACCCCTGAGCTTGAGTGACGGGAGCGGGGCTGCACTGCTGGGACACCTCGTACAGAGACCACTTCTCCAAGGTCGAGAAACGTAATTCACCTACAATATTCTTAAAAATACCAACAGCAACTTAGACAAAATGAGGCGGCAGAGGAATATGTTAGAGACGAAGGAACAAGACGAAACGCTGCTCTTTTTTCTGCAATTAGCTTTACAACAAATCTGAGAAGTAAATATTATTATCCTCATAGAAAGATGAAGGAATTTCAAGATAAGAATAAATTCAAGTTGAGAATGAGGTGTAGTGTGTTGTGTAAGTACCAACTCAAGAAGGGCATGTGAAAAAATACACCAGACTCTGAACGTGAGACTAGTAATTCAAAAATAATTTTTATTTTAACTTAGATGATTGAAAGAGTGATGAATACAAATGCCACAAAACTAAAAGCACCCCCTTCAACCAAAAAATAAAATGCAGAAGTGAATACAAAAGATACGGACTTAATTACTCATGCAATATTCAAAAAATAAAAAAAACCCAAACAACAAAACAAACAACTCTGTTAACACTTGTGATTTGACTTTCTATAAAAAGAACTACTTCAGCCATTTAACAGAGACTATAGTCTATACATACTAACTATAGACTGTACAATGTACCTTTAAAATGAAAGATATATGCGTATATATAATATTTATAAATATACAAATATATGTACATTGTAACTTCACAGTTCAAAGAACTTATTTGCCAGGAAGCCCAACAAACAATATTCACTTCAAAATGAAATAAGAGTTGTTTTTAAAGATCTTGCTAAAATGCAAATATTTCAAATGACATCTAAATGATATTTTATACAAACACATTCAGAGAACAGTTGATATTCCACAGTTTAAATTACACTCAAACGTATTATTTTGATAGCCTGGCATATCCCACCTTGTACACTCTTAAGAGGAAGAAAAGTTATTTAATGAGAGCTACTGAATGGACTGTACTTTATTTAAAGGACTTGCTACCTGATACGGAAGCAGTAATGGAAGCTGTTGTTTTAACTGTCTGGCCAAGGGATCTTATCTAGTGATTTATTGTTTCTCTGGGGCAGTAGCCATCGTTCAGGGCATTCTTCTTCCCAACCTCATGGTAAGGACCACTTTTAATGACTCTCTGCTTTCAACCCATCAAGATTCCTCCAACTTCTATATTTTTCTACCTTAAGGAGCATCACAGCTTTCTGAAAACTTTTGATTTTGATTTGTCTTAGCAACAAAATGCCTCTACTGTGAAAGTGTCATTAAAAAATGGCTCTTGTTTAAACAAAAAAAATCCCTTAAGTTTTGAGTATCTTCTTTTGGGCTGGGGGAGGTAATTAGGTATATTTATTTTTATTTCTTTATTTTTAACTGAGGTATGGGGATTGAAGAGCCACATGCTACACTTGGTTATATTTCTTTTTTCTTTCTTTCTTCCTTTTTTTTTTTAGGGGAGTTACCGGGGATTGAATCCAGGACCTCATGCATACTAAGCAAGCACTCTGCCACTGAGCCATACCCTCCCTGCCTTGAACATCTTGTTTTAGATGAGTGCAAGTATAATCTTAATAAGGTGGTTCTTGGTCATCTACCCTTTTTTTTTTTTACCGTAATGGAAACATGCCTTTGGAATTTTCAAGATTGACAAAAGAAACAAAAACAATAGTGGAAGCTTGAAAAAATGAAATTGAAAAAAATTAAACTCTTACAATGTGTCCCTTCACCAGGTTCTGCAGGCAAAATTTTGTTTGAAGAAATCCTTTTTTGTACTTTACATTTAAGGTAAAACCAGGTAGCTAAGGGGGCCACTCAACCTGGAGAACACGACAGAGGAAAAACTGCAAGGCGTATGATATTTATCAAATTATCACAAGACTATTTCAAGCTTATAGAAGAGCTTCCAAAAAGGTACAACGATGGCTGTTTTAAAATTCCATACATACTAGATAAGACGGACTCTTTTACTAAGTGTCCTCAGATGCAGTCAACAACGTAATCTACTGAAATATACATAGCCCTGTTCTGTTGGCTAAAGGAAAAGTAGATAGGTACTGTGAAACTGGACTTTGAATTCCTTCTGTAACATGTTAAATTTCCAGACAACTTCAACAGTTTCCAGCTAAATCAAAGCACCATCTTGGTTAACAGGGCCATTTATTAAGACAGCTGTTAGGCAGAGTTAACTGGCAGCTAAAAGGCCGTGGCAACTTCACTTGCGTGACGACCTCCAACTTTAACACAGTCTCGAGGAAATTTGTCCAGCTGTTCATAGGCCAGCCGCCCATCTTCTCCTGGATACAGAAATCAAAAATGAGTATCAGTTTGAACTTAACTTTTTCATTCCTTGTTCAGAATAAGTTAATACCAGGTATTGAGGTATATGTTGCTATATTTTGCTAATGTTAACTTCAGGTAAGGAAAAGCCATCTTTGGTTCTTCTTACTCCTGTTGTTTTCTAGGTAGTGTTTAGAATAACCAAGAACTTTTGAGCTAATGCTAGAGACTAAGAGAACACTAAGGGACAAAAAAAGTTCTAACTAATACTATCCTGGGCACATTTTTAGGGAATTAAATAATTTCTGTGCCTAAAATAAGCCATAAGGAATAATCGTTTTATCCTTTAAACAAACATACGTTGGCTAAGGTTTCTGTGCACTGAATGATATATTCAATGGCACAATTGAGCCTTATTCAGTTGGTAACTGCAAGAAAGGACACCAAATAATGAGTCTGGTTGTCACGGTGATTACAAATGCCGTGAGATTCTCTCTCACATTATTAAGCTGCTAGAGTTAAACTAGGGTGGCAGCTTTTTTCCAACTTGTATTATTGACCAGATTACATTTGAGGACTTTCAGGAGTATAGCTTTTACACTTTAAGAGTACACTGTAGTAGTAAAATCATTCATAACAAGTATTTATATTTTGTATACGGGTTTAAAAAAAGGCTCTCTCCACCCTCCCAACTCTAAAGAAAATAAATAAAGTATGAAACCTGCTAGGCATGAACCTTTATAGTGTGAAGTGAAGGAGAAAGGTTATTTGAATATTCCAGAATAAAATAAAATACTTCACTTCTTTTCTTTGGTGTCAGGGCTCAGGTGGGCATAGGCCCGCAGGGCAATCAGAGGTTAACCTGAGAGTCTGGGGGAGGCTATGGGATGTGTGGGATTAAGGCCTTTCCTGAGAGATGAATCCTTGCAACCTCAGCCAACTCCAATCAGCAATCCAACCTGGACTCCTGACTACTACCTCTGCTTTATAGTTCAGTGTTTCTGTTTTTGATTCCAAATAGTGCACAGAGTGAATTACCCAGCTAGAAAGGCTCCAGAGAGTAACCTTCCCCCTCAACATCCAGACAGAAGAAGGAGCTGGAGTGAGATGGAGAATGATTAGTTCCTCATACTGTGTGTGTGCGTGTATAAGTGGAAGCAGATGGCCTACAGGTGGAAAATTGCCAAAACAGGGCACATGGAACTTCTCCTTACCAATCTGTTTGAGAGTGTCAGAAGTAAACACTCATGTAAAAAAAAAACAACAACAACAACAACTCACCAAGAGACAAGAGGGTTTCTGAGGCCACATTCCTGATTTCTTCAGTATCAGACTGACACAATGTCACTAGCATTTTAATGCTTTCAGTAGCCTACAAGGAGAAAGTAGTTAAAACAGAGTTCTGACACTTATGTGTGGGATTACACGAGCCTTATCATTTCATAGCTGACGGGGACTTTAAAAACCATCTTACCCCGGCATTCCTGAACCTAGCTGAGTGTCAAGATCACTTAGGGAGCTCCTGTAAAAGTACGGATTCCGGGGTACCACTCTAGATGCACTGCATTAGACTTTCCTAGGTTGGAGCCCAGGATTTGTACTTGCAGGAGCTCTGGTGATCGGCGAAGTTCCTCATTTCACAGAGGACGCCAGGCCTGGAGAAGTGCAGTGACCCGCCTACTTTTCCAGAATAGAATCCACTTGCCTAGTTCTTTCTATTGTATCTCACTCCTTCCAAAAATAGCTCTAATTTAAGAATTCCTAATTTTAGCTTCTAGAGTAAAACAGAGCAGGACAATAAGGTTCGAGGATAGGAATTCTTCTATTTGTATTCCACAAACACTTACTGAACATTTTGTGAACCAGGCAGTTCATAGAGCCTGGGAGACTCAGTAATGAATATGACACGGTTGTGACCCCTAAGAGTTTACAGTCTGGTGAGAAGACAGATTGTGAAACAAGTGAAAAAATTCTTACAATAATTGAGGCTGAGTCAAGGAATGCTAGGGCAGAACACGCCTGAGAAATGCAGCCTGGTCTGATCAGGGAAGTCTTCCTGGAGAAAGTGGTATCTTAGAGGAGTTAGTCAAATTTGGGCACTTTGTGGTAGGGGTTGTGTGTGTGTGTATGTGTGTGTGTGGTGGTTCGGGGGGGCGGGGAAGGAAATAATTCTAGGTCAGGGGAATAACTTGGTACAGGGCCCAAATTGAGGGAGGCCTTAAAAGCCACATGACAGTTTTCGGACATCATTCTAAGATCATGGAAAGCCATGTAAGGGTTTCAAGGAGGATTTGTATTTTATTACGAGCTTTCTGACTGCAGCGGAGAGGATGGACCACAAGGAGGCAGTGAGACTGCTGGGAAGATGGCTGGAATCCAGGTGAGCAGAATGGGGATAAAGAGGGAACAAATTCCTGCTGCTAAGGTCGTGGGGTCCACGGGATGAGGAGGCTGTTGGATGTGGAGGATGAAGGCAAGGACCGGGTCACCAATGGCTCCTGGGAGCTACTGGGAGATGGATGTACAATCCACCAAGATACGGGAGAATAGAGGTGGGGGTGAGAGAGGTGGAGTTAGAAGTGACTTCCTGGGAGAGGTAACTAACAGCAAGCTGGATCCCAGATAGGAAGGGAAGGCCTGCACTGGAAATACTGGGAGTTATTAGCATATAGATAACAAGGAAAACCGCAGAAGTCACTGTTTCCCCAGGGAGGACACGCAGAGGGGGAAGGGGCCCAGCGGAGCGCCTCTAGGAACACCAACAGGAAGGGCAGGTAGAAGGAAGGGAGCCTGCCACCAAATCAAATGTTCTTCCTGAGCTTGTGAAGAGTCGATAGTGGGTAACAAATTATGGTTTTCTTTCCTGGGAGAAAATTAGGCTTCCAAAGTGGCGGTGGCACTGCTGAGTACCAGAAGATGGCAAACAGCAGTGAGTAGCGTGGATAGACTCTGGGTTATTTCAGCCCAATGAGATAGATGGGGGACCTAAAACTGAGAAAGCCACTGGATATGAGGACCTTGACCTCTCTGGCTTGCTTTCAGTTTGATAATAGAAAAGATAAATGTGGGATGTCTGCTTGCTAACATTAATTTGAAACAAATATTTTCCCTAGAGTTGATTGGTTTGGGTGGGTGAAATCATAAGTCTGCACATTTTTGCCTGGCACAGAGCCCCTTTTAGGAGCTGGGGGGCTGGGAATGGTTTAGCACCAAGGATCCTGCCTATCCCCCAGGAGAAAAGGGTAAAAGGGAGTAACTGGTGCTCCCAGACTTGGGATATGCTGGAGTTTAAAACTAGCCTTTACTATAACCTTCACAGCATGCAAATCCACAAAAACTGAAGTAGACTACTGTATTATTTTTTAAAAAAATTTTTTGGTGGGGGTGGGGAGGTAATTAGGATTATTTATTTATGTATTTAATGGCGGTCCTGGGGATTGAACCCAGGACCTTGTACATGCTAAGCACACACTCTACCACTGAGCTATACCCTCCCTCCTGGACCACTGTATCCTTATGTCTTAATTTACATTAACTCTAAGTCACAGCCATCATCACTGATCTGTCAGTGTCCATCAGGAGAGCACCCAAATACACAGAAACCACCGTGGGGTCTTTTTGGTCACCTAAAGGTAATTTTTTGACTAAGTCACAGGGAAGGCAAATTTTCCCAGAGCTATTTTTCTTCATAGGTCATTAACTTTTTCATTTGAGGTATTAATCCCTTTCTTCATGTCCCATCAGGCCTCCCGGTCCCTGCCCTCTTGTCCCCTGCACCCATCCAAGATTTTAGCAAATCTTAAGGTGTGGCCTTTCATTCTTTTCTCAAGAATCATTAGTCTTATATTTACTGCTTAAGGTCGGTCACATGTTAAATCTTGACTATAGAAAGGCAAACAACTTTAATTTTGGTAATTCTCAGCCCCCGTTTTTTTTTTTTTTCATTTACACCTCCCTGTGACACGGTTAAGATTGATGAGCTGCTTAGGAACTTAGGAAAAAAGAGTTCATGGGGAAGGATCTAGGAATTTATTGGCGTTCTGGATTTTGGTACCTCCTGGCCAATTTGTTTTGGCCCTGCTATTTTTTGGTACACAAGAAAAATGAGTGAAATCATTGTGTCATTTCTCTCTTGGGATAAGAGACAATTCCTCAGTAGTGACTCAGAGGCAAACTGATTTCTGAGGGCTATTGAAAAACTGAATTGTTTTCTGCACTGTGTATTGTCTTTAACAAAACAAAGCCACATTTGGTGACTATTTAAAGACAAAAAGGACTCCCAAACTAATATACAGTGTCAAGGAGAGGAGAAATGCTGCTAGAGCAAGTACTTTTGAATACGGAAAGAAAGCTGTTCTAGGTACCTGGCTTGGCCTCAAAGCCCAAGTCAGATCAAAGCTGACCTGCCAGAGGCTCTGAGGCTGGGCCTTACCTTCAGGCTTTTCAGGGCCAAGCAAGCTGCCTTCTGGAGCTGGAGGTTAGTCTTTGTCAGTGCTTCACAGTAATAGAGCAAGGCCTGAAAGAGAGGGAAGGACACGGCAAAGGCATTTTGATTTGTTTGGAGCTTCAGATGTAGATATCATTTTTACTCCCTGAGATAAACTACAGATAAAATGAGACATTTTGCACAACCTTCAGAGACAAAAAAAAAAAAATCTATTAAAATTCATGTTGATTAAAAGAGCTGTTTCCTTTTTTTTTAACTTTTTTTTATTGAATTATAGTCATTTTACAATGTTGTGTCAAAGAGCTGTTTCTTTATTCAATTCATTGATGCCTTCTAGTCCATCAGGTCATGGACTCTGGGGAATATAAAGTTGGAAGATACAATGTAATGATTCCAGCTTTCAAGATGGCCCTCGGGTCACCTAGAAATTCTGTTTAGAAGGAACCACACAGAAGAAAGGCATTCTTTACATAAGAAATCTCCAAGGTGCTAAGTCACAGGGTTAAAAAAAAGTCACCTTCTGGAGGGCTAGGGCAGGTTTCATGAAAATGATGTTTGAACTGGATGGGAAAGGATGGGTTAGAGTTCATCTGGGACACTGGGGGAGAAAAGGGCCTCCGGCAGAACAGAAGAAAGAAGGAGGCAGGAAGTTCCAGGAAGAAGGTGGTGCTGAGTTTCACTCTGTGCAAAAATCTCTACATAAAAATAAACTCTCTTATTTTTATCAATCTAATTACTTCATAAATAGTTTGTGTTTCTTAGATTCCTCTCTTTTCCAGGGTCCCTGTCTTGTCAAGGTCTTGATTTTGTGCCTGGATCACTATCATGGCATTTCTGCTTCCAGGGACCTAAGGATTGGCGGGGGGTCCCTCCTTCAAGTGTGTGTTCCATCATTTCATGCCTTACCTTTTCCCTGAAATGCTCGTTTCTGGAGGCTGCTGCCAAGTAAAGCATCACAGCCTCACTAACTTCACTGTCATCGCCAGTTAAGAGCAGAGCCAGAGTCCTGAGGATCTCCTGCTGGGCCGGGAGGCTGCTGGGCGTGAGGTCGCTCATGGCCTGGAGCAGTTTTTCATCTCTTAGTGACTGCAGAGTCTGAAGCATGGAAACTGGAGAGTGAGGAGACAACAGAGTTCACCTTCTGACAGTTAAGTAACATTTTCATTAAAAATATGTCAGACTCAAGGATACACATGATAACAGACCCAAGGATATATGAAAAATTAGCACATGAGAAAGGCAATGTTTCCAATTAATGAGAAAAGGACAGATTATCCAAATAACTATATGAATGCAAAGGATGAATACAATGAGAAAAAAGTGAAGGTGGATCTCTAGCTCAGAATGGCTCCTAAAATAACTTACAGATGAATTAAATAGTCAAATGGAAAAATAATAGTGTAGAAAACACCAGTAAGCACTTTCTCCAGTGGTGCTGGTAGAAGCAGACTCCACTGCCCCTCTGTCTTCACCTGCCTGGCAAAACCCTGACCCTGACCCTGACCCTGAGTGACCTCCAACTTGGCCGTCTGTCTGCACTCAGGCAACTGGACCCCGATGGAAAGTGCAGTTGGTCAGAGTATGAAGACAATATGATAAAAAAGAGGATTTAGAGTCCCATTTGGACAGATTGACCATGTTCCATGTACTCTAATCCCTAACTTACAAATGACAAACACATTAATGAAGGAGAGAAACTATACTGGAGTCCTAAATCATTTACCAGCTTCCTGTTAATGGTACAACCCTGCTGGATGACTGAGATGCACTTAGCAAATCCTTGGTTCACTGCCAAGGGGCTTACTAATGTTAAAAGTCCAGAAATTATTTCAAAGGCAAATCTTAGCCCAGCTGTTGATTTGGGTAAAAAAAAAGTTACCATCACTAAAAACCATGACCAAAAAGACCAGAGATCATCACTCCACACTGAGCCCCCACAAAGGGTGACCAAGGAATGCGTCCCACCTTGCTTGGCCAGCTGGTTCAAGTAACTCTCGAGGTCACTCACACCATGGCTGGTGAAGTAACCATAATACTGGAAAACAGTGATGACTTCAGAGGAGAGGCTGGAGGTAAGCAGGGGCTCGGCCCGGTCCAGGATTTGAGACACCAGGGTTCGAAACACTATTTAGAAGGGGAAGATATGAAGCAGCTTTTAAGAAACATGATCATTCATTCATTCATTCACTCATTCATCTGTCTATCTGATGGAGAGAAGTCTATAACATGGGCCAATCTTCTGTGTATGGCCAGGTGACTTTTGCATATTTATACACCTGTGTCACTGTCATTTGGATCAAGATACAGAGCACTGCTGGGACCCCATAGGTTTTCTTGTGCCCTTTCCCAGTCTGTAGCCACTCACCTGCTCCCACCACAGGTAACTAATAATCGAACTTCCATTGATAAATTAGCTTTGTCTGTTCTTTGTTCTTGAACTTGATATAAATGGAATTATATACTATGTGCTTTTTCTATCTAGCTCCTCTTACTCACCAAAATATCTGTGAGACTCAACCAAATCATTGCTTGCAGCAGTAATTTATTCTCTTTAAAAACTGCCGTGTAAGACCCTATTGTATGACTGTATTACAGCTTATCCATTCTCTTGCTGGTGGGCGTTGGAGTTGTTTCCAATGTTTGGCTCCTGTGAATAAAGCTGCTGTGAACCTTCTCATACATGTCCTTTTTTTTAAATGAGCCTAAGCACGCATGTCTCTTGGTATATTTAGGAGTGGAATTGCTGGATCAGAGGGGAGGAATCTACATATTTAGTTTTCACAGAAACTGCTAACCAGTTTTTTCAAAGTGGTTGTACCCTTTGACACTCCCATATGGGTGACATTTGAATGAAAAAAGTATCCATCCTCAAACAGCAATACAGACACATAGTGCTTTTAAAGCCACTGCTGATGTTCTGGATAAAAACACGTGGAGTGTCTTTCTTTGCTTAGATTTTGCTGAGCAGATGATGTTGTCTCTGGAGGGCAAGCCTCTGGTTCAGGGCTGGCTCCGGAGCCAGGGCGGCGGGGACCCCACCCGTGCTCACCCGCAAACGCGACAACAGCAAGCTTTCCCCGCTGCTGCCGCCCTGTACCTGGGTCGGCCAGTCCTGGATAGTCCCTGTTGACGGTTCTGGCAAAGTTGGCTTCAAGCTGCTTAATCACTCTGTCCGCTGAGCTGTGGTAGACCCCAATGGGGCTGCAGCACTTGGTCCAGAATGACAGCAGAGACAGCTTTTTGTGAAATTCTGGAATGGCTGGAAAAGAACAGCAGGTGGGGGTGGGGCAGACATCGGCAGGGGTCTTTTTTTTTTTTTTTTAAAGTATTGTGGTTTTTAATCAGAACTACAGGACTCTGATCCTATAGCTGGCAGGTGGTGGTCCCAAGGGCAAAGAAGGTGAGATGAGGAACTCATCCAGCCTGAGCAGTAAAGAAAATGCAGCAACAGCTCAGCAGTTTGCTTTCAGTGATAGAAACCTGCAGGTCTGCCCTGGGGAGAAGGTCTAATCATCTCATTTCCTAGAATCTAACAGCAAAAAAAACCAGGATTGGAGACTCAAACCTCAGGAGATTTTTCTGAAGGGGACGGAGCAGAGCGGTGGGTGATGAGGGAGCTTTTCACCCCGCCTGGGTGGCTCTCAGACAGAAATGACAAGGTCAGCATCTCACTCTTGTGGTTGTGCGCATAGAGGGGCAGGGGTGCTGGGGACAAGCGCAGGAGCCGGAACGTCCTGCCCCTTTTCCTGCCTCTCAGACACCTGCCAAGGTCACCTGCTCCTGGGAGGACCAGAAGCAGGAGGCAGAAATGCTTACAAAGAACCTAATAGGAGCGTTAACCATAATGGGAGATAACCCAAGGGGTCCTAGTTTTCCACTATTTCTACTGACTCTCTGATGTAAAAAGACAAAAATTCTTATCTTTAGGAAAGAGCCCTGTAGCCAGACCACACAAATTCAAAAGCATCTTTCCTGTGTCAAGTTCTCCACCTAAAACTGATCCAGAGACTCTTGGGGCCTTTGACTCCTTGCATTTCTACCTTTTCCCAGGAGGGTTTGGGAGCATTTGACATCGCTATGGGAGTTGTCTCAGCCAGCAACATGGGGCAAGGACAATTCTGCTCACCTGTCCCCTAAATGGAACCAAACCAGCACAAAAAAATCTGTGTAACTCTGCCTGGGAGGTGGATGCTGGTTCTGTGTATACACTGGAGGTGGAGGCCCCTCTAGGAAATAAGTTGGTGTCTGCAGGTTTGACTCCAAAGGCTGGAGTGGGGCGTTAAGGAGACCACGCTAGCGTGGAGACACTCCTCTAGCTACAGCCGAAGAACGCGTTTCTGCTCTCCCGACAAAGCAATGAGGAAATGCAGGCCGAGGAGTGAGTTGGTGATGTCGCCGTCCACAAGAACGGCTGTGAACCTGCAGGTGCTCACCTTCAATGACAGAACTGATGTTTCCTATGTTCTCATCACTGACAGCAGACAGTTTCTCCATCACTTGGATTTGCCTCGAAAGCTTCTCTAAGAGGTTTCTTGCCACAAATGGGGTTTTGCTTGAGAGAACAATTTGCTGACAAAACAAACAAAACCACAGTGTCAATGATCTTGTTGTCAACAGAGCCTTTCCGACCCAACCTCATCCTTCTGAATGAAAGCGGGGATGTTAAATAAACTCAGACAGGGTTTTTCTGTTCCAGTTTGTTAATGTTCCTCATTCCAGGCCGCTTTCAACATTGGATGCGATCAGACACGTTTTTGTTGCTCTAAACTTTTCATGCTCGTGTAAATTCTGGAATTTTCCCAGTAGAAGAGCTGTAAGGGTATTATAAAGTTGCTTTTCTTGTATGTACTGTAAATCTATAAATCCTCCTTGAAACTTAACCACGGCATACTTAGGCTGCCCATTGGTGTGTAAGCAGAAAAAAAGATTTATTTTATAAGTGTAGCAATTTTTCATAGCATGGATTTATTTCCTTCTTTTCAAGCTGACAATTAAAAGCATGTTGTAGAACAATCATAGTTATAATCCAAACCATCTCATTATAGTTAAGCAGTGCTTGTTACGTACCAGGCCCTGGTCTGAGCCACAAACATGTATTAGCTCATGTTATTTTGTACAACAACCCAGTGAGGTGGGTACTTTTGATTTTTCCATTTTACCAATAAAGAAACTAAGGCACAGTGAGGTTAAGCAACCTGCCCAAGGGCACATAAATAGCAAATGATTTCACTTGTGTGCAAGGCACAGAAATGAGGGAGGGCCTGAGAGAGGAAAGAATAGAAGTCAGTTGCTGCCTGAAAATTCTAGTCTTTTCTAAGTCTCTCAGAGATCTGTCTCAGTTACTTGGTAGGCATGGCTGCAGGACACAGACCTGTACTACCTTCCTGGGTGGGCAAGGAGTGTAGCTCAGTGGTAGAGTATGTGCTTAGCATGCACAAGGTCCTGGGTTCAATCCCCAGTACCTACACAGGGAAAAAAAAATTCACTAAGCTGGTCATGTATGTAGTCTAAAGCCTTTGGACTCTAAAAAGCAAATAGAATTTTTCAGATTCAAAAGTCTAGTGCAGCAATTATGTGCTTTTACTCACACGCCTTTCATGTAAGTAAATACAGAAGAAAAGATCTGCTTTATTTTAAATGTAATTAAATTATAGCTGTTATGATTCTTATGGAATGTCCATTTTTATCTCTTTGCAGCCATACACCAAATGAAAAAATAAACTCACTGACTGAGGAGTGGGTGTGAGAGGACTTAGAAATCAAGTTCCTAGCCCTTACTCCTTTATTCTACATCTTTATATCCACTTCTTTTCTTTTTTTAAAATCAATTATTTAATGGAGGTACTAGGGCTTGAACCCAGAACCTTGTGCATGCTAAGCACATGTTCTACCACTGAGCTATGCCCACCCCAAGGTTAGAGGAGGCAGGTAGCCAGATATGAGCAGAGAAAAGGGGACACAGGCCAAACGGCGAAAATTGGGCAAAAGAAGGAGGGACACGGGCCAAATGCAGGAAACCATACACCAAGTGAACAACAGGGGTCCTTGGGTAGACAGAGAAAAGCAGAAACCTCTGGACTGATAAGAAATCACACATTTTGGGGTGTCAAAGGTCCCGGAGGCCCACAAAGAAAAGTGGGAAAGTGCAGGAATCTCCAGTGTCCAAATGTAACCTTTTGCGCACTATGCTTTCATTATAATAATACTAGCCTTGCAGATTAGAAATATCCATCGTACACAGTCGCATGACACTTCCGATCCAGGCTAAATAAGGACAAAAATCCCTCCTCCCTTCGGGAGGGTGGAGCTGGGGTGAAAATCAGGGAATATGACCCCCAAGCCCTTCCCTCCCCAATGAATATTCCATCATTCATTTCTGCACCCTATGTAACGAACTTGTCAAAGAAACTCAGCGCAGCTGCTCACCTGAGCCTGCCCGCTCTCCACTTGAGAGTGTACTATCTATTCCTTAATAAATTCTCACTTTTTTAATCTCTGCGTCTTGTCTCTGAATTCCTTCTTCGATGAGACAAGAACCTAATCGCCGGCAACACCACCCACTACCTTTTAAGGTCTAGAGATCTAAGTTTTAAGACAGAAAATCCAGCCTTGAGGGAGGAGGACCATGCCTTGCAGAATTTTTGAGTTGAGTCAAATCAAAGCTGGATGGTTTTCTTAGTCCTGAGTTCTATTTTCCTGGGAAAACTCAAAAAAGGAAGCACACATTCTTGATGCATCGACAACTCGAGCTCTAAAAACCAAATGCAGCCCCCAGCCCTACCTGGACGAGTTGGGTGCAGTACTGGAGGTGCCTGACGATGGTGAGGTCCAGGCTCTCGTTCCCTGAGGTCAGCGGGAGAGGGCTTCCTGCCACGCTGGTCCCCACTCCCGTGTCCTCAGTCAGCGCCTCACTGAGATGCCCGCGGGCTTCCGGGTGTACTGATCTGTAACTGTCGAAGCAGGAAGGCGAGCGGAACGTTAGCTGTTTCTTTCTGCGTGGAAACCACAGGTCAACTCAACATGGCTCACATAAGGCCCCCAACAGCATCCACTAAAAAGTCTTGTGCTTGCCTGCCTTGAAAAATTGAGATCCCTTTAAAAAACTACTTCCTAATATCGCCCCGTCACCAATTTGCCTAATATTAATACGACCCTGCAGACAGATTGCTTCCAGAGTTCTCTGCTTCTCTAGCACACAATGAGCCATCTGCAAAGTCAGTCGTCTCACCAAGAAGTCTTTTGAAATGTGCCCTCATTTTGTTGCCCTTTCCTGCTCTGTTGACGGGGTGATTTGCCAAATTTTCCGGGATTAAACTGTCCTCTGTATTTGTGGTTTCCCAAGAGTAATACCATTAAGAAATGATCAGTCAAGGCTTTTTCCTGGCCTTGGATCAATGACTACTTGAAGAAAAGGAGAAAGGAAAGCTGCGAGGAAGAGACAGAATGTCCTACTTGCCACAAAAGCTAAAAGGGGCTTTTGAATCTTTAGCGGGGTTGCTTAGTTCTGCCTCACGTGCTTTGTTTAAACCCCACTGTTGAACTATCTAAAGCTGTATCTTTTTCTTTTTTCGAGAAATCGATTTTATTATTTTTTCCATTTTAAATTATTTGTAGGGGAGGAATAATTAGGTTTATTTATTTATTTTAATGGAGGTACTGGGGATTGAACCCAGGACCTCATGCATGCTAAGCACTCACTCCATCACTGAGCTGTGCCCACCGCCTAAAGTTGTACCTTGACAGGCACGTACATTTAAAAATAAATCGGTTGCATTTATCGTCTAATTTTATTCTTAAAATCAATCTGTGCAGGAGGGAGATGGGGAGGGAATGGTCTTATTTCAGACACGAAAGAAACGACCAGCAGAGATGTTAACCAGAGCCCTAGTTCACACAGCTAGGTCGCGACAGGGCTATTTGGCTTCTAGTTTTACGTTCCCTGGTCTCCATAATTTAAAAAGATCACGCATCCGAGTTCAGAGGCATTGAATGCTCTACTCTGATTCACATTTGCCTCCCAGGGGAAAACATTCAGCTTGCATCTTGGTAGTCAACACAGACGTAAAACACACACACACACAATTTCCACAATTTTCCCTAATACCTCTGATGACATAAAGTAACATTAGATCAAATGTTCTGTAAAATATACAAAGTCTATGGTGTTTTCATTCTTAGAATGCTTCTTGTAGCAAGAAGAAAGAAAGTTTAGCCTGACTTTGACATATCATGTCATAGCTTAAGCTAACAAATATACAGTAAGCTGTTCGGTTTAAGAAGCATTTCACAAATTCAGTCAAGTTAGAAAAACCTCAGTGTAGAATGTAGAAGGATAAGTTAAACATTACACTCGTTCAATCAATTTCCTTTGCTACGCGCCCAGTTTGCTTGAAGGCTAAATTCTACTTCTCACGTTTTTTTTTCCTGGTTTCATCTTGGCAGAAGAAACCCTCCAGGAACAACAAAACTCCAAAATGTTACCACCACCCACAGAGAGGTTTGGGAAGGTTGAACTGCCATAGCTTGTTGTCGCTCGAAAATCTGTGTATATGTTAAAATAAAGATGGGTGGAAATCTACCCTTTCCTTTGGGAAAGTGTGTATTTTTTTTTTTTTTGCAGCAATTGATGGAGCTGAGTATTGTCCCACGGTGTTTACAGAATGGACCCGAGGCTCTAGCTCTAAACATGTGATTTGGTACAAGAAAGCCCAACGGAGAAGAGGACAGTATTTCACCTTTCTCCTCCTCTCCCACTGCCCTGCTCCATCCCACCCTAGAGAAGGCCACACCTCCACCTGGTGGCCTGCAGATCCCGTGGCACTTACAACCATTAATCATCCTTTCCTACATTCTAAGGGAAACGTGTGCCTGGGGGCTTAAAATTGGCTTCCATATAGGCGCTGCTGAGCTTAAGCTACTACAAAGACCCAATGGCTAAAGGGAACGGAGAGATAAGGGGTGGGAAAAGCAAAGCATGACAAAATGAAATTAGAAATAAGATTTGAATCAAGGAGATCCAGGTCCAAACTAATCACTCAGTAAGAGTTCCCCAGAAACACAGTATGCCGAGCTAATCTGGAATGAATTATCTTGGGGACAAGTTGGAGACACTGAACTCTACAAGGTGTATGTATACACACATGTACAAATGTACACACACACACACATACACACTCAAAAAAAATCTCCCCTTCATTTACAAGGAAGGAAGACAGGCAACTTATTTTCCCTTAAACACCACAAAAGGGAGGAACAATATTTCAAAGTTGTACTCGACAACAGAAAGGAACTGGAAGCCAGCTCAGGTCGGGGGTTTTGTCTTCCTGGAGATGTGTATCAGGTCCTGTCTGGCAGCAGCAGAGAACTGTTGTACCAGCTATGAGAGCAGAAATAGAGACGGACGCTCACTTCAGACTTACCTATTTTTCTCAGTCTCAGTGTCTGAAAATACTGAGTCAGGACCTCCTCCAACATTACAAACCTCATCACAATCCTCCTCCTCCTCCTCGTCAAAATCAGAGGTGTTCAGGAAATCAAAGCTTTCTAAAGCACTTTCAACTGTAAGACTTAAACTGGAAGACCTGCTTCGGCTGACTGCTGGCTTGCACTGCAAAGGTAGAAGGGACCAAGGAGAGTATCAACATATTCGGAAGGAGAAACCCAACACAAGACACCCAACGGCAGATGCGACACTTTCTTTTTGTTCAAGCTTTTATTTTTGTTGTTGTTGGCATTAAAAAAATTCACTGAAAATCTTCATAATAAAAAGAAGTACAACCATGGATAAAATGACACAATATCTAAGATTTGTTCCAAAATAATCCAGAGGGAAGTAAGCAGGTAGAAGGTTAGACAAAACAAGGTTGGCCTTGGGTTGAGCATCGTGGAAGCTGGGCACATTGGGATCCATTATCTGATTCTTTCGACTTCTGTTGGCAATTTTTATAATAAAAAGGTAAAAAAATTACAATCAGAAAGCCCTGGGAAACAGAATGGCTATTCTCTCCGCCTAGTGCTCAACCCTAAATAAAATTCACCTGGCAGACAAACCTTAACAGTCACTGAGTCAATGCCAAATACAGACCAATTTCTAATTCCACGTGGCAGTGTCTTCAGTGTCCTGAGACAGAGGTGAGCTATCTAAGGCACCTGTTCTAAAGGACTGACGAAACAAATCCCAGAAACAGAAACTTCTTGAATCTACCTAATCCACCCTCCCTAGGTAAGTAGACCTAAATATTAACTTCACGATCACAGCACAGAATTCTCCTCTGAGCACTGAGAGAAAGTAAATGGCATGCTCAGGACACAAAGCGGTCATGCTCCCTCTATAGCTCTGTCTTTGAAGGAACAAGTTCCATCACTTCCCTGATCAGGCCCTGTAATTATGGGACCAAACTCACTCTGTGGTCTGGAGAATTCTATATTGCTGGACATTAAACAGAAATATTACAAACAGAATAATGCCAGTTGCTAGGGACACAGAGATGGGGAGATGTACTTCCAAATAGTCAAGAGGATGCTGCGGGGGGTTGAATGGGACAAATTCTGCAGGTAAGAAGAACTAAATGTCCTCCATCCAGTTGGATGGCACTCCCTGCTGGCTTCTTAACATAAGGTCGGACAGGCCTTGCGGGGATCTGAGTCTCTGACACTTAAGATGGCACAAAAGCACACGGGCAACCGTCTTTCAGTCTTTTAAACCAGAGTTGTTTCATTCACCCTCAGTGATCTCCGTCCAGGAGGCAGCATCATTTAGTTTCTGATCCTCAAGATGTTTAGCATCCTAGGAATGTGAAGGAGGAAAAAAAGAGAAAGCTTTGTCCAGCTGATGCTTTAATTCTGGCTGGATACAAAGCCACTTGCCCCAGACCTAAACTCTAATACCCTTTTCAATCTCAGACAGAGAGGAGGAGCTGGTCCTGACTCAACCCACTTCTAGAGTCCTTGAGTCTTCTTTCCTAAGCTAATTAGCTGCAGAACCTGATCTTGCACAGTATGGATGTGTTTAGATACTGATCATAACAAAGAAAGGGGCAGCTAAGGATTTCAGTAGCGGAATAGTTTTGGAACAAGAGCAGATTGAAATAATACTCCGGAAAGCAATCTGTAACCGCCAGGTTTTTATAAGACTGAGAGATGACTTGCTTAGTGCTTCTCGGTGGACCAAGCTACTGATCAGCACCCTATCCGTCTGGAAATGGGGGCTGCTGTCAGCACTGGCTTTCTTTGAGGCATGTGCTTTAGGGGGATCAATTGTGTCTTCGTCCTTTACATTCAACACCTTTCTGCCCACTAAGCAAAGCTGATCAACTGTGCAGACAAGAGCTTGTAGAAGGGATAAAAGATGTTTTCGCTGCAGTACTAGACTAGCAGCCTCTATGCATGAGCCCTGAGCTGACGCTTTTGAATTATGTGTTACAGGAAGCAGAGTCAGCGTGCCCTTCCCTGCTGCTCAGAGGCTGTGGCTACAGCTGACTCAACCTGTCATGGGCCTCAGAGGATGGGGAGAGCCAGAGCATGAACTGTCATCCGCCCTGGGCGTCTGTCCCTTCCCAAGCTAGGTCAGCGTGCCCGAGACCGTCAGAAAAGCCTTGGGAGTGTAGTTCCAGAGGCCGCAGGGAAGGTCACGTTTTAAAACAGTCACACCAAGGGGTGCAACAGCCTTCTGCGGGTTGACTGTCAGCTGGCCTCTGGCACCACATTTTCAAGCCTATATTACAGAACAGGTCCCCGAAGAATTGCTCTTTCAAGAGAAAGGATCCAAGTCCTCTTCTCCTTGGCACGATAAATCAGATTCCTTGGCAAAGCAAGGAATACGAGAAGTGGCTGTGGGAATCGGGACAAAAATTCCAGTTCTGTCTTCTTGTGTGGTGTTTTTAAAAATTTAATCTGTATGCCAAGTGGAGACACATACATTCTGGGGCAGTGATAATGATCTCATATCAAGACCTCCCACCTGAGAGGAATCACCCCTCTCACTCTCATCTTCCCATGTCTGTCCTGAGCTGTCTGATCAGGAACAGGACAGAGGGAGATATCTCTGGCAGTCGGGGATCTCTGACTTCTAGATGATTCACGGGTGATTAATCCGGGGTTCCGACTCACTGATTTGGGCCAATTGCAGAGAAGGGAATCTCCCAGGAGCTGGTGCCCTGCGGTAGGGGAGAGACACCCCTGGCTCTCACATCCCGGCTGCCAAACTCTGACTTCAACCAGGGCAGGGCTTTCCTGCTTCCTTGCTACTCTCCAGTCTCCACTCAATGAGATTATGATAATCAAAATGCCACCATTTCACATTTAGGATCTGAATGATTAATTGGGACTGAGGGAGTTTAGGCATTCTTTAGAGCAATTTAACATCTAATCATTTTAGTTAAGTGGATCAGTGGTCAGGAAAGTAAAAATTAATATGCGCTATTGTTAAAAATTAATGCCATTTACACGATGATTATCTATTGATCCTGGGATAGGACAGGGTTTTAAAAAGAAAGAAAGAGAGATAGGCTCTTTTAAATAGAATGATGGCTTCAGCCCCCTGCCTCGAAACCTAATCCAATGTCCCTGAAAAGGTACTTACTTTTAGAATATCATCCAAGTGCATGACTTCTTGGTTCAGATCCTGAAACTCTTTATACTGCTCTCTATGTGGTTCTAATGCAAGGAAAAGCCCATTGAAGGCATCCTCTAAGCTTCCATCTAGGAAGGATCTACAGCCTTCGGACTCGCCACTGACAGAGCCCTCAGAGAGCAGCCTCTCTGCAGCTACTGGCACCTCTGCCGAGGTGAGCCTCTTAACCAGTTGTTTCGTGATGTTTCCTTCAAAAGTGTCCAATTCCACGGGCTTGAGCTCAGAGGCCTCATCGGACTCTTGCAGAAGGGCCTCCGCGACGTCCTTCTCTAGAAACAGGCGCTCAGCCCTGGGGCCCGTGGATGCTCGGCAGGCCTGCGGTTGTCCTGGTCCCTCTGTGTCTTCCTCCACCTGTGGCTTGGGCTCTGGACCATCTCCTGAGGAGTTTCTGGAAGAGGCTGAGCTGGAGTCATCCATGCCCCCGTTCTGGGAGGAAAGGCTGCCACAGTTCAGCTCAGCAGGGGTGATGGTAATTTCTGGATTTGCTGAGCCAACGGTGGGGACAGAGCCGGCGGGGTTGGGGGTCAGGGTGCAGTCCCCGTTGGGCAGGTCGCTGAAGCTGAAGGACAGTGGCATCTTCTCCTCAGTGGCCTTCCCGTTTTCAAAGGTGTCATCAGGTAGATTCGACTGCAGAGAAAAGGCAAGTCATTATTATTTTAAATGCAGTTGATGTGTTTGGCATGGTTCATTTCCAGATGAAATGCAAGGCAATTAAAATTAAAAACCAGACCTTTCATAATATTAACATTGTATTTATTGATTTTGGGGCGTGTGTGTGCGCGTGCATGTGTGGCAAAAGAAAACAAGCCTTTAAAAACTCCACTTCCGTTGTTGAATTGAGGTGAGAGTTCATCATACTATTCTTAGGTTTGGCATTTTTCCAAAGAAAAGGCTGGGGGTAGGGGAACAGGGCTTGCTTGCTAAATCCCAGGATCTCATCATCTTTGGCAGCCATAGTTATGAACAACACTACCCTTCTGGGTTTTTTGTTTTTTGTTTTTGGCATCGATCTTAAAAGACTTTCCAACATTCATGCTATTTCACTCAAAAGACATGATGCTTTGTTCTGCTTCAGTTCCCAGAAATTATTTTTTGAAAATCTCTACCCAGAAATTCCAAGCCCCAGGAAACGTTTTAGTAATTTAGTAACCATGCCACAAATAATTCAAGACCAAAAATACATTGGCAGAGCTTCTATAAAAAGAGGAGAATAAGGCTGAAAAACAGAACCACTATCTTCCAGGGTTGCAAACCCCAGAGCTCCCAGGGTGTCTAGAAACCCCAAATGCTCTGTCGGGCAGCCCCAGGCTGGGTTGGGTACGCTCTGTGATCCATGAAGCAGAACTCAGAAGACAGAGGTCAGAAATATCCAGGTAACCAAGATACTTCATTACACAGGTGTTAAAACAGTTTCTAAGTCATCTTTCCTGACACTGCAGTCTGTGCACCCGTGTGGAAATGCCGAATGTTGTTCCGAGGGGAAAGTTTTCTAGTTATTTGAGATCAACTCCTTCAAAATGAATACTTTCTCTGGGATTCCAGGTTTGAATTTTTTTCAGTCAACAGTAAGCACCAAGCTAATGCATATTTTAATGAAATATAAAGCAACGAGTGGTCACGATAGTGCCCAGGAAACAAAGATGTTACAACAAGTGACATGGGCAGCAGACCAAAGGAGGCTTCCAGTCCTCTTCCAGCAGCGTCCCTGGTCCCGTCACTGCTGGATCCGGGGGCCACCAGCTCGCATCACACGCAGTTAGTTCAACCCCAACTCTCCATTCTCGTTGGGTAGAAGGTGGTTTACTTTAAACACAGAGTGACTAAAAGGATGTGTCAATGTGTCACTGGGGCATTCAAGTAACCTCTGCAGGTTCAGTCTCTTTGCCACTAAAACTGACTGTTTTCCTTGATTAGTGATTACTGACCTGTAATCTCAGAAAGGTGTGGGGAGTGGGTGGGTCCCTGTGCGCCTCTTACTACCTCCAGCTTCTTTTTTTAAAAAAATTTATAGTTGATTTACAATGTTGTGTTAATTTCTGGTGTACAGCATAGTTGATGCAGATATACATATATGTAGATTCCTTCTCATATTCTTTTTCATTATAGGCCATCACAAGGTATTGAATATAGTCCCCTGTGCTATACAGTAGGACCTTGTTGTTTATCTTTTTTTCCCCACCAGCTCCTTTACTTCAGTTTCCTTCCTTCTTGATTTGCACCCCCAAACATGCCTTATGCCTCTAGGAGAGATGAAAGGAAACTTCTGGGGAGCGATGGGGGAAAGCTGGGGTCCTACTCCTTGCACGTCCTCCGTGGGGTCCCTTGGGGATCTCACAGAACCCTTGGGTCCTCCCAGTGGTCCAGCCCAGCCTCGTCTTCAGAACAAATTCCAGAGTTCCTTTTACTAAGGCAGTACAAAATTTAACAAACACTACAATAAACTAAGGCAAAGAAGCTCTCTCGCTACAAACAGCTCTAGGAAAATTAGTTTAAATCCTTCTGACCTCCTCGAATGCCAGTTTTTGAAGATTCCAACCGTGCAGAAAGATTGATATTTGTAACACACTAGCTTAACTTGTGAACTAAAATCTTCTCTGACCTTGAGTGTAATTGTATCTTAAAAAAAAATGATAATCTGGTTACCATGGATATCTTTGCCACAGCGGAGAAAAGTCACAGCACAAAAGCGGAGGTGGTGAGAAGGAAAGGACCGACGGCCTGTCTCACAAAGGTGCGTGCATGACCACACTTCCCACCCCGGGGACGGGAGACCCGTGACCGTGATCCCGTGAGCAAGATGGAGAAGATAAAACATAAGACATGCCAAAGCACACATGCCACGAGCCCCCGAAGGCAAGCACGTCAAACCGGGCAGGACACCCACACTCACATAAAACTCTAGCACGGCCTTGGGTCTCAGCCTGAGGGAGGGCAGGTCACTGAAAGAGCGACTGCGGTGCAGCTTGGCAAAGAAAGAGTCTTGCAAGGCACTCAAGACAGACAGCCTTGGCTTGTCTGGTGAGGGATGCAACCATCTCTTCAGAAGTCAAAGCAAGATGGCGGAGTTAGTGGAGAGCAGAGGGTTACTATGGTTTTGTTAGCTGTAAGCAAGTCTTTCTGATTAAAACAGGGAGGCCATTACTTATATCTGCTTCTTTAAAAGGCTGATCTTAGAGAAGGTGCAGAAAAGTCTATGTGTGTTTATCAAAGCAACAGGTTAGTGAGGGAGAGGAGACGAAAGACAGAGGAGGTTCACCACCTGTGCGCGGGTGCACAAAGGCACCTTGGAACATGCTTTCCTTAGTCACCACTGGTTAGGTGAACTTTAAGCTAACATTATAGTCAGCCCCCCGAATCCAAAGGTTCTGCATCTGTGGAGTCAACCAACCACGGACTGAAAATATTCGGAAAAAAAATTTCATAGAGTTCCAAAAAGCAAAACTTGAACTTGCCAATCTGCTGGCAACTATTTGCATCTTACTTACGACTATTTACGAAGCATTTACATTGTTTTGAGGTGTTATTAGCAATCTAGAGATGATTTAAAGTAGCCAGGAGGATGTGCAGAAGTTATGTGCAAATACTCTGCCATTTTATATGAGGGACTCGAGCATCGGTGGATTTTGGTATTGGAGGGGGGTTCCTGGAACCAATCGCCTGCTGATACCAAGGACAACTGGAATTACTGAGACTCCCTAACACCGTATACTGAGCATTTCAAATGCTGGATGAAAGCTCTGTCTCTGACTTATCATCCCTCCTCCAGAAATTGCACTGAACTTACGAAGAAGGAGTGATCTTTGAAGGTGGGCGTCTCCGGGGTGCCCTGGCTGTACATGGACATTCTTCTCTGGAGGGCCGCCGCCTTGTTCCCAGCGCCCGAGGACGGGGTCATGTCCTCCACATCAAATGGACTGCAAAACAACAGGGCCCCGTGAACGTGCGCTCGTTAAAATCACCTATAATCACCGGACGGCAGGCCAAGAAAGCACCTCGTTGTACTAACATAAATACAAACCATTGGAAACTGGGTTGGTTGAATCCAAATTGGTCTGTCAGCAACAAAACAAGATTTAAAAAAAGGCAGAGCAGAAAACTGAGTCTGGATTCACCCAAGGGACCATAGATTCTTATCCCAGATTTAAGCACAATTTATGTGGTCACCTGGACACTAGATAAATCTGCTTCCTCTTTCATATGAGAGACATGAATGTATGAATGCTTGTCTCAACATGAGATGTTGAATAGGCCTGTAAAAAACTCTGGAGCTTTGTACAGATTTTTTGTTTTTGCAGGGGGAGATAATTAGGTTTATTTGTTCATTTATTGTAATTTTTTAAAAATGGAGATACTAGGGATTAAACCCGGGACCTCGTGCATGCTAAGCATGCACTCTACCACTGAGCTATACCCTCCTCCCTGCAAGTACAGACACTTTCAGGGTACAAGAGAGTAACAGAGTATTGTTCGGTTCTGAAAGAAACACTCCTGTTCATTTCAGTTGACGCAGAGCCGCTCATGTGATTGAGAGGGTAACAGTTGGCTCACAGAGATGCTGTTTATCTTCACACTGTGGATTCATCCAGCAAGAGGACTGATCCTGCAATTTGAGATGTCAACAGCTACAAAATGACAAGGAGAGAAGGGCTGGGCAGAAGGTGTGGACACTGTTTCAATGACAAGGCAGCCTGTCTTCACTGCTCCCATCCCTGACTCTCTGTTATAAAGGGGGCCCTGAACGTTAATACTCCACCTGTCCTAGTTAGAGTAATATGTAATATACCAGGGGCATAATGTTTAATAACTTATCAGGACCTTTCTCATGGGGTGACTTCAGAAAACCACTCTTTAAGTTCACTGCTTTGATGAAAGGTATCTCTTTGGAAGTATCTATTTCAGTAAAAAGAGTGTGGAGGGACCAAGGATACCCCAAATTTTCCAGACCCGTGTGAGGTATTTGAGACAGAGAGGGCTAAGCAATTAAAACACCAGAGCGAGAATCCAGATCTTTCTGAGGGTAAAATGTCTCTTATTGGACAGTTATTTTCTTTCAAATTAGTTGGCTGGAGAGAGATATTTCTTGATACATATTTAAAGGTTGAGAAGGAAGAGAGGATACAGAATAAAATATTTAAACACAGGAAGTGGAAGAGGAGGGTAGTGATAAGGCAGAGGGGCCTCCAACTGGAACCTGCATGGACATCCCCTGGTGAGGGATGAGTGAAGAGATTCTTGTGCCCTGGGAGATTCTGATGCAGTGAGTCTGGGGTGGGGCCTGGGGGTCTGCTTTTGTACCAAGCTCCCTGGCGAGTCTGATGATCCATGCACCCCTCCTTGGAACATCACGAGCCTGCAGCGTGTATTTCTAACAAGATGAAGTTGAAAAGGGTAACTTACTACCAGGTGATTTCCAGGTTCAGTTTGATGGTGCCAAGGTCATTGATGTCCACAGCCACCACCTGAGGTCGGGCTGCAAACAGCTCTTTGGTCTCGCAGGTCACGCTGCCAACCAGGAGGTGAGTCGCCAGCCCTTTGAGCTCCGTGACCTGGTGAGAGAGGGAGAAAGGCCTTACGGGACAGCAGAGGATAAAGGCAAGACATTCTTATCTTGTTTTCTCAGTCAGCTCAGGCGTTTCAAGATCATCTCTGAAATCAGAGGGGGATACTCCCAAAGCCTATCTGACGTTGGCACTGCCTGCTGTGACACGCAGGCCGGTCTCTGCAGTGTACTTGGCGTGCGGAGAGACGTCTGTGGGATGGAGGGGCAGCAGACAGAAGTCATGGGATGACGCACGGCCATGACAGTACCGTACCTTGATGGAGATTAATCCAACTATCAGGGGCAGGAACACCACTTCTTCTCCATCCCAGCTCTGTTTGCCGTTTACTTCGATTCTGCCTTTCAGTTTCCACCTCTGTCGGCCATACTTCATGAAAATCTGCAGAGAAGACACCAAATGCCCTCGGGTTCCGCTGCCCTCCCCTGCCTTCCCTACCCAACCCAGGACGGAAAAGGCTAGGAGATAAAGCAACTGCCTCTCCTCCTCCACTTCTCCAGCATCGATTGTCATTGGCGCTCCTTCCAAATTCCCTGGGGGGTGGGGCAGATGACCAGTGGGGAGAGACTTTCAAAAGGGAGTAAGTTCTGCTTCTCTAAGGCAGAGGGTGTGAAGGGTTTCTTTAGAAAAAGGTCGTCAGATCATGCCCTTTGGCTCACTCATGTCAACCACCCTTTCTCTTGGTTGTTCTGTCTTACAAGAACAGACACTGGATTAATGCTCCACACTCCTCAGTTCCTTTAGAGAGACAAGAAACCATCAGCTAAAATCTGCTTAGCGGCCAGAAGCAAGAAATGAAACATCCTGCTTCCATATGAATGAGGAAGAGAGCTGGACAAGGATTTTGAAATCTGACCTACTCTGGGTAGAGGGTGTGCAGTCTCTCCAGGGTCTGATAGCTTTATTGTTTAGGGGAAGATACCTGCCTCCACCCCCAACTTCAAGAATGATTTTAGAGGGTTTTGGAGGAGAGAGATGAAATAATTAGCTGAGTTCCCTTTTGGAAGGGGAAACGATAAAAACCTTTATAGAGTATATTTATTTTTGGGGGCGAGGGGTTGGAGGTAATTAGGTTTATTGATGTAATTATTTTTAATGGAGGTACTGGGGATTGAACTCAGGGCCTCATGCATGCTAGACATGTACTGTACCACTTGAGCTATACCCTCCCCACCAGAGTATACGTTTATAAAAGGAAAGATCTAGATACTGTTCTTCAGTTGTGATACTTACGAACAGCCATGATCCTGGATTGGATCTTGGGTCAGGGCAAAAAAAAAACCCCTGCCATCAAGTACAATATTGGGACACTTGGAAAAATATGAATATAGATCGTGACATTAGCAAATGACATTAGCTAAAGGGCCAATGCTAAGTTTGCTGGTGTCGAGAACTGTACAATGTTGATATGAGAGGAAGTCTTTCCATATTCAGGAAAATAATTTTGGAGTGAAAGGTCCTAATGTCTGTGTATTAATATAAAACCATTCAGCAAAATAACAACAAGAATAACAGTATTAATAAAAAGGAAGCAAAAGTGGTGTAATGTTAAAAATTACTGTCTAGATGATGCATGCATGGAAGGTCTTATACTAATCTCCAAGCTTTCTTATTGGCCCAAATTTCTTTTTCAAAATTAAAAAAAATTTAAAAAACAACTGAAAAAGCAAAGTAATGACAACTGACTCCTGCCCCTCAAGTCCAATACCCAGTCGGACACCATACTTACTTCATACTGATCACCAGGGCAGAGGCGAGCAAAGCCAGCCAGACCTGGAAGCAAGCAAGTGGGATCAGAGATGTAGAATATATTTCCCCTTTTTACAAACCCACACTGGCATATTTATAAACTTCAAAGTGTCCAGCCTTTGTGAAAACTCATGTAATAGTTTCTGGGGACCATCTGTGGGCACAGTTATTACTGGGAATTTCATCCATCACAGCAAGAGAGAAGATTCCTCACTGGGGTGATGGAGAAGGTGCCTTCTGGGTCAGAGAAGGGGGCTGTTCCTTCTTTTAATAGCCCTGTGAAGTTGTGAGACTATGGAGCGGATGAATCTGCTTTCCACCTGTCTAATGGATGTTGCCAAGGTTAAGATGATACAGAGAAGGTCCAGGGAGGCTTAGAAAAGCACCTGCTGTTACCACTCTCTGCCAGGAGATGGCAGCAACTCATCAGTCCATCACAGCTCTCTACCCACTTAGCCAGCTCATTGAGGACCAGTTTCCACTAACAAGTAGAAACCATTAACAAGTCACTTAAAAAGATTTACAGAAATAAGAGCAGAATTTAAGAAGCTAATTTACACTATTAATTTTCTGGAGTATTAGTCTTTTCTTTTTAATATTTCTGAAAGAAAGCACAACAGACTGATTTTTATAAATTCGAATTGGCTGGATATGGCAATTCTAACAAAACCCTAAGTGCAAAGGTTACATTGGGAAGCTTTTCTCTTCCCTGCTTCCCTCCCCTAAGCTGAGGGAGGGGGCGGTACCATCTCACCCCTCCCCTAGGCTTCTGAAGCAATCAGTCACACTATTGGTGCAGGAGGAAGTCATTTATTCCATTGAATGAGACCACTGGCCTAAATGTCCATTTTCTCCAGGAGACTGGAAGCCAAGGCCAGGGACCATTCATCGGGACGCAGCCAGAGCTTGACCAGCAGCAGGAGCTCAGTGAGTGCTGGACCAACTGTCTTTCCATCATCATTTACCCCACTCCCCAACCCTGAACCCCACAAAATGATTGTTGTCTGTGTGTTGGGGTGGGGCAAAAAGGGAAGTGTGGAAGGGTGTGGCTGGAGGAAGTTGGGTTACCAGGTCTGAGAATATTATGAAATATCCTCACTTTATGTCAGTATGTATGTTGGGATTTTTTTTTTTAACCAGAATGAATAACAGATAAGAAAGTAGCTGACTACAAAGATGCAAGATGTCCTGGCAGGGTGAGAGGACTTCCTTTTATTAACACAGAGGGAGATATCCTCGGGGCCATTACCCTTGAGCAGTGTCATAGAGATAGTTCGAGTTTTCGTGTTAGATGAGGAAAGCGGAAGTGAGATGAATTTACAGTGAAAAAGGAGGATCAGTTTCGGGTCTGAGTGACCCCCTGGGAGAAACCCTGAATCCAGAGAGAAGCCAGGAAGGCCATCAGGCAGGAAAGAGAGAATACAGAGGGTAGAGATGGGAGAGCAGGAGCAATGGAATGTTTAGTCTGTCTGTCCTGAGAACCCATCATAACCCAGTGCTGTTCTTTAGCTGGGTGGCCAGGGCCCCTGTGGCTGGCAGGACCCCCACAGCAGCCTCTCACCGACCACCAGGTCTCAGGTCCAGATCTGCCCCACTCCCGGGGTGACTGTGTGCTGGGTAGATGACCCTCCCACAGAAGAGAACATTCTTTGCGCAAGTTTTCAGAACCTGCTCAGCTCTGTTAGAACTTACGCCTCACATGGGGCCCGGGGATGGGAATGCACTAGGAGCCAAGAGCCCTGGAATTTAGCTTTAAGTACGTTTCAAGTCCAACATCCTGTGTGACTTCCGGGACGAGTCAGATAAAAATGGGTAAATTATCACCCCACCTCACACTGATGCATTTGACAATAGCGAGCATCAGAAACAAGGGAAATATGGCCCTGCCTACATTAACAGTGAAAAGATGTGCATGATCTGAATTTCTCTTTGCTGTAAGACCCTGTGGCTGTGCTGGCCTGCATGGCTGGAGCCCCAGTATTGGGGGAGGAGAGAGAATTGTTATCCGCTAAATGCTGATTCAGGGCAGTGGTTTTCCAGAATCAGGCTGCTGATAGAATCATCCTAAGAATGAAAAAATAACATATATATATTTTAAAATATATTATATATATATATATATGTATTTTCCAGGTTCCCACTCTAACTTGCTTAGGTGGGGGTAGGGCCTGAGTGGTTTTAGAACCACTGACTCAGGTGAGGACCCACAATGAAGAGAATGGACTTAAAAAACCAAAAAAGCACAGACATCTTGCCTAAGTCATAAAGTTAAATGCTGAGACTTAACATTGACTATTAAACTGATTCACTATCAGATCTGCTGGAGAGATGGACTCAGTCATAGGAGAAGCTGAGGGTCAAGGTCATTTGGATTCCAGGTACACTCATCCAGAGCAGCAATACGTGTATAGTCCTTGACAGAACGATCTCCTGCCTGAGTTAGACACTCATTCAAAAATAAAGCTCTCCTGTTGGGCACTTTAAAAAAAAGTGCCCCTTTTCTACTTCCTTAATTGCAAAAAGTAGACAAGAGGGTGATTAAATCCCCACTAGCAACTCAGGGATCCAGCTGCTAAGAAACCTCCAGAAGGGACCAGCCCTCCTTGCTGTGGTGACTGGGCCAAAACTCAGAAGGAAAATGCACTTAGTGTGGTGGCTCCTTGTTTGACAGTGCTGCTGGTGACTAAGCTGTAAATCTGACCACACCTGTGGATGCTCTCTTTTCTAAAACCAGTTTCTTTTTGTTCTGAAGATGCCTGTGGTATAAATCAACAATGCTTCTAGGGATAAAATTTCTGGAGGAAAACACCAGAAAGGTGCTGGAGAAAAGAGGGAGGTGTATAGTCCTCTATGAGTTTAACACTAAAAAAAAGTTTTAAAATAAAGAAATTGGTAGGTTGTTTACAGGAAAATGGGGAGCATAAAGGAACAAATTAAATGATATCACCAAGAAGCCTACAGACAAGTCTAGAACGTGGCACGTTCTGTACAACAACAGTTTCAACACGACAAGTCAATGATAGGAAAAAACCAGGGAGGAGTCTGTTCTAGAAAAAAAGGAAACTTAAAAGTGGTGCCTGAAGACCGATTAGAATGCATGGACCTTGTCTGGATCCTGATTTGAACAAACCAACTGTACATCTCATTTTTGAGACGACTGGGCCATTTGATAATGGAATGTATTCTAGTGAATTCAGAGGCATTGGGATAATACTTGGCATTGTGCTGATGTAAGAAGGGGGTCCCTAGTCCTTAAGAGAGGCAAATTGCAATCTACAGGGGGAGACGCCCATATCTGGGTTTTATTTCATCAAAGGAAAAACTACAGAAAAGAAAACAAGAGGAAGCAAAGTTGGCAAAATCCTGCTAATGTCAAGCCTCAGTGACGGGTTTATGAGGGCCCCTTGTAATATTCTCTCCATGTCTGCGTATGTTTGAGAACCTGTCACAGGAAATATTTAGGTGTGGAGGCAAGTGTCAGGATGAGAAGTTCTGGAGCATCAATAAATTATAACATAAGTGGAGAGGGGTGACAGAGGGTGGTGCAACATCTTTGCAAGGAAAATAAAAAGAGCGTGTGATGTCAAATGTCAAGGAGCTCCACAGAGATGGCACCTTACTCGCTTGAAACAGGGGAAAGAATACCTTTCATCTTGATGGAGAACTCCCCCAGCTGTTTCTCCAGCTCTGCTTCAATGGTGCACATGTTCTAGGAAGAGCACAAGAGACTGGCATTAGGGCAAGGCTTCTTTCCAAGCATGTGATGTTGCAAGAGCCGAGGACAACCATTGCTTGAACAGGAGACGTTTACCTGTTTGCAGTGAACTACGGGGCCCCAGCCTATGCAGCAATCTTGACAAAACGTTCAACCTAAGCCTAAGCAAGCCTTCTAGTGCACAGGAAATTTAGAGCATAGAAGATCCAGTTAAATTATTTCATAAACAGAGAAATCCAGAGTGAAATCCGGAGTGCGGGAGATTCTAAGAGAACTGACCTGGATACAAAAAGGCAGTAGTATCATGGGAAAAAAAATCTAGATTAAAATGATTAAAGCCACATTACCATCAAATGCAATGTTTTAACTTTGATTACATTCTGATTCGAAAGTAAACAAACTAAGACAGTTATAAAGGATATTCTTGGGCCAAATAAGGGAAATCTGAAAATGCACAGGGTATCAGATAATTCTATAGGATGGCTGGTAATTTCCTTAGTTGTGGTAAGGGTAGGTGGTTATGCAGAGGATACACATGTTCAGAGGTTGTCATTTAAAAATGCCTGCTACAGGGAAATATATATAGGATTTTGTGGTGGCTCAGAGCGAAAGAGAATGTGACAATGAATGTATGTGTGTTCATGTGTAACTGAAACATTGTGCTCTACACTGGAGTTTGACATAACATTGCAAAATGAATATAACTCAATAAAAAATGTTTTAAAAAAATGCCTGCTAAAATATTTTTGGGGTGAAATGTCATTTTTTTTTACTTTACTATCAAATGACTTAGCAAAAAGAAAAAGAAAAAAATTGAGCATATACAAAAGAAAGAAAGCAGATATGGCCAAACATTACCAATTGGTTGTCTAAATAAACGATGTTCAATATACTAGTCTTGACTTTCCTGTATGTTTGAAATTTTTCTTAATAAAAATTTGGTGCAAAAATTGAGATTAACAGATACACATTACTATATAGGATAAACAGCAGGAATCTGCTGTGTGGCATGGGGAACTATATTCAATTTCTTGTAGTGGGCTATAATGGAGGGAAATCTGAAAAAAAATGTATGCGTATATATGACTGAATCGCTTTGCTGTACACCTGAAACTAACATTGTAAATCAATTACACTTCAATAAAAATTAAAAAAAAAGTGCTCAGTAACTCAATTCTACTCAAAGTGAGTGAGGCTCACTCGCCTCATGGCCACATCGTCGTAAAGCCCCCAAAGTGATCCTTGGGTTTGACAAGCGTCCTCTCCTCACGCTAATGTTGAGGGACCAGTAAAGACAGGAGACAACATCTATGCCTGCGGTTAGAGATCTACCCACACCCACCCTACTTCCTCAGTATTGGAGGACCTAAACAGAGCAATCAGAGTTAAAAATCTAGAGGAAAAAGCGCTGTGGCTAGGGGGCTGCCCTCGGTGAAGCCCTCCTGCAGCGTGGCCAGTTTAAGTTTGACCCCTTTGCTGTTCCAATAAGTCCCCACTCCGGCCACTGGGCGCTTTCTCCCTCCATCACGGCTGGGGGCTCGGGACTGGCCACGCCCACCAAGGCCTAACCACGCCCACTAAGGCTAGGCCGGCTCAGTGAGCCCTGAAAGGGGCTGCTTCCGTTTGGATTTTGTTTGCAGAGGACCTCAGGAATGATTTGCAGGCTAGAGGTTCTGACCCCTCAACGTCAGTACCTCTAATAGCTTAGCAAAGCTGGGGAAAACTTCCTGAGGTTGAGTTCGGGGCAGCTGGAGAGCTCTGCAGAGTCTCAGTTTTGTAAACCAGTTTTCTTCCTCAGAGCACTGGGTGTTTCTGGGAAGGAATGCATTACTGTTTCTAGAAATAGCAACGATGTTATCAATGTATGTCAGGATTGCTACAGTGTCTTTTTTTTTTTTAACATTTTTTTTCTTTTGTATGTGTGCAGAGGGGTGAGTTAATTAGGTTTATTTATCTATTTATTTTTAACAGAAGTGCTGGGGATTGAACCCCGGACCTCATGCATGCTAAGCGTGCACTCTACCACTGAGCTATGACCCTCCCCCTGCTACAGTGTCTTCGAAAAACATGGTTCGGGGTGGGGGGTGGCTACTTTCACAGTTGAGGAAATCCATGGACAGAAATTTTCTTCCATCTCACCCAGGTAAACATTGATGAATATTGCTATACTTGCAAAGGCACCTAGAACCATCTGGCCCTAAACCCACTCTGTGATAAAATCTTGCCTTGTGTGGTTATGTGAGGATACAAAACCACCTGATGTGATGTCAAGTGAGGTAGAAGCTATGGAAGTCCTGGACTTCCTTCTTCTCTAAGGTAGCCCTTCTTCTTGCTGAAATTATACTCCACATCTTTGAATTTGTGAGCAAATATGATGTCACGTCTTGGCCCCTGACCGTGGGTAGGTATTTCTGAAACGACCTGCAAATATTCTAGGTTAGTCCTCTGTGTACTATGCATGGCCCCTGTTATTGGCAACTGCTCTTTTGATTTTAGTGACGGGTAGAAATGCAGTCTCCCGAGGTAGGGATGCTTCTAAGCCAGAGATTCTTAACCTGGGCTCCATCAACTTGGATGGGGAAAAAAGAAAGTCACAGTGCTATCTCCACGAACGTCTTATTGAAATCTAATTCATCCACATATCATGAATGGGGAAGACAAGTCTCAGCCGTACGGCTAGTACTGGTGACTTTGACCAGATAGAAGTCATGAATATGTTCATGTCACATCAATTGTTGCAGGTATCTTGAGAAATCATTTCTATTTTTCAACAGTTTGAAACTTCAGTAGTTACTGGAGCCACTGTTAAATATTGTAGTTCAATTTGTTAATGAAGCAGCAGTACAGTGCTATAGCACACATTTGATTTTAAAAATATTTTGATCAATGTAGTGACAATATTAAATTTTGTATTTCAATATAACTTGTTTCCTTTGAATTCCTATGGGTTTCATTTTATGCATTCAAAAAGCATCCTCCCAAAAGGGGAACTTAGGTAAAGAAGTTTTAGACCATAAAAAAAGGACAAACACAGTTCAGACAAGAGGCACTGCTGCAGTGATCACACGAATCGATCCTGTAACAAGTCATCTAAGAGGTCCCTCCCATCCCAGGGCCGAGACTGATGCTCAGCTCTGGGAATGGTCCAACAGATCTTCATCAGGCCGATGACTTCATTCATGAAATTGGATCTCTGAACAAAGACTCATGGGATAGTGAGAAGTGCTGCTTTAATAATTCAATCATTTCATCAAAGACATTGGTATCAGGTGACCCTCAGAGGAGCAAAGACCTCCCTGTGTCATATGTTTGGGCCCCAGGGACAGTCAGAAACCATGAAAGCACACTTCTGTTCATGGCTCTTTGTCTTGCCTTGTTTAAGATAGAAGGGACGTTTCTTACAATAAAATAATTGTAGGCAGGATGTCAGAGAACGCAGCATTGAGGGTAGCCGTCTTAACCACAAGGTCTGCTCGACTTCCAGGGATAAAGCTACACTGGATTGTACACTAGAGAATCCAGAAGTGCATTTAAATGGCAAAAACCAGGGCATTTATGGCTTATTCATTTGCTGAAAACTTCAACAAGTGCTTGTAGTCCACTCATGCAGAGACCATACACCCTGCCGAATGGAGCACATAAAGTATAAGACTTGGTCAGTGGATGACATCACAGCGTCTCAGATCTTGTGGTTTTCCACATCCATGAACAAGCGTATTATTATAAGGCCTCAGGAGGTGAATGCCTGACAGCTGATGCTCACAGACTGAGAACGTCACATGCTCTGAAGTCCACAGGAGGCTCCAAACAAAAATACAACCAACAAAATCACCCAAGAGTCATTTAAAATAAGAAAATGCAAGACAGACAAACAGTAAAACTTCTCTCTCTAAAGAGTAGAGGAGGCTGCAGGTTGCCACTCCCCTGGTTCTTGGCTGGTACCAATGATTCAGATCGGGCCAGGTGGAGTTCTGCAGCTGGGCAGGTCAGCACCTACCTCTGTGTACTCTTTGTAGCTCCGGCTGATCTCCGACAGGCTCTCCCGGGCAGCTTTGCTGGCAGGGGAAGTTGCAAAGGCTTGCTTCATTTTGCTGGCACCATCTTGGAGGCGTCTTTGGATACAATAACCTTCATAGAGTTCATCGACCTGCCAGAATCAAAACAGGAACGTAAATATTTATCCCACTTGAAGGAGAGACATAGGCCATTGTTAAGAGCTTAAAGACACTTTATGTTTCTGACCTCAAAAGGAGAGTCTTGGAGAAGTGTCATTCTTCTAGACAGATGAATCTTGTTTTCACCACTATGATCCATTGTCTATTTCAAAACAGATTTTACCCTGAGCCTTCTTTTCAAATTCTACAAAGTGAAAATGAACTTACTACTGGGGACTGTGTAAGACAAGGATTAGACAATGAAGGCAGGATTCTTTTTTTATAAGGAACAAACACTGGAAGGGTGTACCCAGAATTTCATACCAATGTGACGACTTTGTAATAGACTGGGCCATTATTGCTTTATTTTAGGAGACAGTGTCACAAGGTGATAGTCACACAACCAGATTTAGATTTCTTTTAAAAGAGAATTTGAGGCTATTTATTGAAGATGATTTTTGGAAAGATGTGGCTCAAAAAAAGACAGAAAACACAGGTAAGTTATTCTTAAAATTAGAGTGAAGCACAACTGTCAAAACTTACCAAACTGGACACTTAAGAACCGTGACTTTTTTGCATGTAAATTGTACACAATTTAAAAAATAAATGGGAGCAATGGAAATGAATATTCCTTTGCTACATCTCTATAGTTACGCTTCTAAATAATAATATACCCTTTTGATCATACTCATTATATAAGCCTGATAGTCACTTAATGCTTCTAAGACAGTGACTCTCAACCAGTCCAAGGCTATTTAGATACCCAGGGTACACTTGGCAACATCTGGAAACATTTTTTTCAGTGTCACAGCTGGGAAGGGCTACAGGCATCTAGTTGGTAGAGGTCAGGGATGCTGTTAAAGATTCCATAATGCAGAGGACAGCCCCCCTACAACAAAGAATTATCCCCAAATATCAACAGTGCTTAGGGTGAGAACCTACAGTTATTCCAGATGATACTTACCTCCACAGTCTTGTACTGTCTTCAGTTATCAACACACCAATCACAGATGACAATTGGAATTTTCAGACAGATTAAAAAGAATGGTACCACCAGACATTAGCAGAAGCCAATGAAACCTATTATTTCTGGTTATCTACCTAGAACTACTTGAGTTTTTCATTTCAGCATAAACTGTGTTCCCTCAACAAGGAGGCTGAGCTATAAGATCTAGAAGAAGGTGGAGATGAATAGAATGGATTCCAGAGTTTCAGACTCCCCTGTTTTCTGAAAGCAAACTTCTGGCTGATCACTAGAAAGCATCACTGCTGCCTGTTAGTAGGATGATCTTCCACAGTTGCTTTCTGGATACAGATGTCAATCATACTTAGCTTAGAATACGAACATTCAGAGCCTGAAAGTGATTGTCTTGGTTTAAGGATTCTTTGTTGCTCTTCAACAAAAATTCACTGCACTTTACTGAGAGGAACTGCCCAAATCCTGGAAGGAACAGTCTTTCATCTTAGGAGTTGGTGGATTTCTCTCTGATTAAGATAGAGGTATAGGACTGAAGAGGTGACCATATCTGCTTATAAGATCCTTTGGTTGGGTGATTGGCATAAAGGGTGGGTCCCATACTTTAAAACTAACCTCAGAGTCACTTGGTGAGCTTGTTAAAATGCTGATACCTAGGCCCCACACAAAGATGCTGATTCAGTAGGTTAGGGCTGGGCAAGGAATTTGAAATTTTTATTCTATTTATTTATTTATTTTAAAAATTAAATTTTTTTTATTTTTCATTTTTATTGAATGGAAGATTCTTTCAATTCTCTAGTGCCTTACCATTTTCAAATGTTTCAAGGAATCTGAAATTTTAAATAAACAGGGCAGACTGTTCTCATGTGGGAGGTTCCCCTCAAGACTTAGAAACACAAGGGCCTCTTCCAATGCAGGCCAGGCCACATTCACCCACATGGCCTCCTGGGAGACTGCCCCTTCAGTCCTCTGCCCCCCTACTGGGTCCACAGTCTCTGAGATTGTAATCCTCTTAATAAGGACACTGCTCACTGGACTAGTAATACGGCCCTAATGACTTAGTGTACTACTTTGCCTTTAAAGAAAAGTTTATTCTTGTTTCCATTTAAATATCAACCTATCTAGCCAAAGGGAGTTACCCTTCAGGAGGAAGGATAACTATGTACTCACCTAAGCAGAGACCCACCCATCTGTAGGCAAGTATTTGTTCTATCTAGATGTCAGCAGTGGCTCTCATCAAATAAATGGATTGACTGACTTATTCAATTAAGTACACTTTGTTAGGATTTGTTAGGGATCTGTGCATAAGATGCTGCAGGTAGAGTACCACCGACCTCTTATAGCCACTAGGATTGTTATATCTCACAGTGATGGACACAAGGTGGATAAACACACTCTTACCTGATACTAATTTTGTTTTCTTGCTATTTTTCAAACTAAACAGTAATTTCAAAGCTCACCTGTCACCTAAGTATCTTCTAACGGATGTCACTGTTTTGTTTATTGAGTTCAGAAAAAGCAGCAATTTCAAATTCGCCGAGGTAATAAATATCTTTCAAAGTGGGAATGTACAAAGGCAGTATTATATACACATGTTTACAGACACAGACATCATCACAGAATTTTAAACTGGAAAGGATTCTTAGGATCATCTAGATTGAGTACATGCACCTCCTGGCCTCATTGCAGAGTAGAAAGCCAAGGTCCACATAGATGTTCAAGCCTACTGGCAGAGATGAAACTAGACTCTGAGGCTTCTGACTCCTAGTAGAGAGAACCACTAAAACCTCCAGTTTCTCCACTTGGAAGATGGGCTGATGGGTGCAGATGAGACCAAGAGTTGCTAATGGTGTAATTTAGCTGCCCTCAAAGGGAAATTGTTTCCAGGTTGTACGGATATCACCTGATGGTGTCGAGAACAAGGGGGGAGAGTCCCACTCCACACTAGGCTGGCGGGACCATCAGTCAGCTATTTGCAGGGTTCAGGGCTGGATGTCAGGGACCCCGACAACCTGGTATACATAGAGGGGGACGATGAGGATGAAAAGGAACCTGGAAACCAAGCTGTGTGAAGAAGAGCGGAAGGAACTGGAGAAAGATTCAGGGAGGTACACAGCAGCTGACTTTAGGTACTTTAAAGGCTTTCATGAAGAAGGTTTTGGGGGTACCAAGTTGAATGTGGGACCCGAGTGTTAGGCAAGCAAGAGGATTTCTGTAGGGTCCATTTGGTTCCATCTTTAACCAGACAACACTGAGACTGTATCTTTTATCAGGCACTGTGCATGCTGCATAGGAAGTACTTAATAAGTGTTTGTTGAACTGAAGTAGAGTAAAAAATAATGTGCTAGATAATTCGGTTCTCCATTCTGATTTTTCCTCCATCTTTACTGCCTGTTGGTGGAATTCATTGCTCATCAGCTCAGGAATCAACTGGGTAAGAAATTCTCCATGGACTAGATGCTATGCTCAGGCTGAAGGCCTAGGGATCACTGACTGAGAACTAAAAACCAAAGGCAGGGACAAGAGGAATGTCAATTACCTTACTAATGTGAAACTCCAGGCGTCTCATGTATCTTTCAATCGTCTTAATTTGCTGGAATTGAAAGAAGAAATTTGAAAAAGTACAGCCATTTAGTTTAACTGATTAGACCTGGGTGGATATCTTTATCTTACACTCAAAAGGACCAGAAAATGCTATTTCCCTTTTCCTCCCATCTTTGTTGCTACTTTAAAGAGTCTCTAGCATCAATGTGGCAAGTATTTGTAAAAATACTGAATCAATACTCTAAGCGACAGACTTGACTCAGCTGTTGAAATCCTGGTGCTTCACATCAAGGGAGGGCAACAGAATGGAATTCACTGGATTTCTGACAGGACAGTATCATATTGGTATATACTTAAACTCCGTCGTGATAACATTTTATCAGCTCGAAGATGGACTTTCTTCCCTCCCGCATTTTAATATCTCTGAAATTGGGGTGCATTTTACAACTGCTACTGCCTGTGTTACTCCAAGATAATCGTAGTTGGTAATGTGTCATCTCTCCCATTTGAGTTATAAATGTTATAACGTACATTAAATTTAATTCACCTTTAAAATATCTGCAAACAGATTATACTATGATTCAGCATTAAAGGTATCTACACACAGAAAGGCATGGAAAGAGACAGCACCATATATAACTGAAAAAAAAAAACCAACCCTACATTTAAAATAGGTCTAAGAGAGTTTTGTCACTAAGTATGAAATACAAATTTTAAGTGAAAAGAAAGAACTGTGTCACAGTTTAGCTGGAATCACTCTTTTTCTTAGAGGCACCTAAAATAACAATGTGTTTTCCAATCAAAGTTGTCTTTGATTAGATGAAAGATGATAGTTCATTTTTAGAAAGGACCTTCAAACACCTGGGAAATTCTTAAACTTATCAGCCCACTGAGGGACCCTGCAACCAGGTGGCGTTTTTATGAAAGTGACAAACACACTGGGTCTATACATTTTCATCATCCTCATTAGATAAAGAATTTTTTTAGGAAGAGAAAAATCATCATTTCTCTAGGATCTTACTGCACCTCAGAGATCACTGACTTCTACTCAAGGATGAAGGGTTTTATTTCTCAGTGACTCCCCAACACAGAACAACAACTTACCTTGTCCAGGTCATACAGCACACCCTACAATAAAAAAAGGAGTATCCAGATTAAAACATATCTTCCTCAAAACCCTTACTATTATTAACAGAAGGATTTTGTCTGCATTTCTGCATCCTCAGTGAAATAATCAGCCTCATAAAGTTCTGTTGGACATTTTGATGTTGCTTAAAAAGAGTAAAAACCCAGATTATTTGAAATACCAGTAAGGATACTTTTAAGAGCTAATATTTATTTATACTCTTTGTCTCCAGAATTCCATCCAGTCCCCTCTGCCCCTGGGAGTCTTAAGATTTTCACTTGCTTTGAGCTCTCCTCTCTTACATATCAAGGGGCACATAAATATAGGTTCACTTTAAATTTAAAACAAAAATGTTGTTAACAAAAAGTAGCAGTGATTATATGTATTTAAAAAAAAAAAAGGGCCTGTCTTCCTGACTAAACATATAACACTTGGCATTTAGGAAGAGTCCTTGAGGTTGGTGATACGCTTTTCACAAACTGTTTTCACAGCAAGTTTATTTCCTGTGTGCTCACAATATCCCAGCAGAATCAGCACACTAAGCCACATCCCCCAGTAGGAGGGCTTCCATGGAACACAAGGTCCCAGCGGAAGTTCCTCCATCCAAACACCATTGTTCTCCAAGGAGGAACATTTGTTGCCATTGAGGACAGTCAAGGCCATTCAAAAGCTCTGAAGGCCATTCCACTGAGAGTTCCACGTAAATGGAAGCAATTTATCTTCTAATATCATTAGAAGGTAAAACCTTTAACCTCTATGAAGTCTTTAACCTCTGAGTCTTTGAAAAGGACAACAATATACACTTAAGCACATCTTTTTAAAAAAATTATTTTATTTTGTTTTGTTTTGGGGGGAGGTAATTAGGTTTATTTATTAATTATTATTTTTATTTAACTGGAGGTACTGGGGATCGAACCCATGACCTCCTGCATGCTAAGTAAGCATGCACTCTACCACTGAGCTATACCCTCCCTCCTTAAGCACATCTTTTTAAAAAAGAAAAAGATAACAACTACTCATGTTTATCTGTACTTCACATATGCAGGCTTTTCCTGGGCTTTCTGATGCCTCGAAACATTAAGGTGTAACATCATTTGGAACTTAACAAAATCACTTAAAATCATTAGAAATACCTCTTTAAGCAGACAAGTCCTCACAGATTCATTAGAATAGAGGACATCTGCAAGCATCTCCAACAATACAATGTGTGGTTGAACCGGCTCAAGGACTCCTCTGATTTCTCCTCCTTTCCTGAGCCTCCTTTCCCTCGCTGATAGCACTGACCTTACTACATTGTTTAAAAACTGGAGATAAAGCAAAAGTTCTGGTTTCCAAATTCTGTACTAACACTATGGTAGGAAAACTCCAACTATCACTTTCTTATATTACCTGGGGCGGGGGGTGGGGGAGGGATACAGAGCATTTCTTAAAAAGTATTTTTCCCTAATTACAAACTTCACCTGCATCAACATGTTTGGAAAATATTGAAACATGTTAAGAATAAAGCATTAAAATACACATCAGGAAGCAGAGGGTATTTTTCCCCTCGGATCTACTTTTCTTGAAGCATCTTCCTCGTCCCCATGTCCACTGGGTAAGAGAAGTTACTTAGCCAAAATAAAAGACCACCTTGTTAACATCCTACCGATTGGAGGGTACCTACCAGGCGAGAGTTTCTTCTCATATCTTTTAACTGAGCTGTCAACTTGTCCAGCTCAGTCTGGTGAACCTCCAGATACTCGCTGCAAAGATAAGAGAGTCGTTAATCGTGAACTCTGTGACTGTCAATTGGAATCTGGTGCTATTACTGGCCTCTCCCTTCTGAAGGGGAATTAAGAATCTAAACCTTGCTCTGTGGAGGGCAGGGCTGGCAGGGAAGAGGCTCTTTATTTTCTCAATCGCTCCACATTTTGAAAGCCCTAGCAGTTGTATCTGATACTATCCAGATGGTCTAAAAGGAGGACCCCTATGAGGCTGAGTCCAGGAAAGAAAAACCAGTCGGGAGGGGAGGGGCAAGACAACTCTGGAGTCAGCCCTGAGTCTGGGCTCACAGAATTCTATCTAGTTCCATCAACATTGATTGTACATATCTCACCACACACTGGGGAAGTTTTATTCTGGACCAAGCATCCCTAGAATATACTTGGGAAGGTTTCAGAACCCTTCTTCAGCAATTTCTAAAACAGATATGCTTGTCTACCATTGTTTTGGTGGAATCCAATACTACAGAGTTAAATAGAAACACATTACTATTTCAGGTCCCCTTCAGTGTTTGGATAGGATATGGAAATCCACCAGAGTTCACATCTTTGGGACTTATTTCAGGCTTCCTCAATTATGCTGCAATAATACAATATCTACTACAGAAATAGACATTCTAAAATTATCTTGTAAGACTAGCTTTTCTGACTCTCCTGGGCATTTTAGAAAGTCAAAAGATTTCAGTGCATTAGGGTCCATGCTCTTACTCAAGTCCGTTTTTCAAGGCCCGGTAGACCTCTTCCACCCTTTTGGGCTGAGGCTCTTTGGGAGGACTGTTGTTTTTGTGTCCTAGATTGTGCATTTTCTTCAGTTTGGCCTGAGGCTTCTTGAGAGCAGAGGGATTTTCAATGAAGGAGTTACATCTATGGAAAGAGAAAAGAAAAGCCAAAATTGTGAGTTTCAGGCATCCAACCAAAGAAATGCCTTTCAGTCATCTTGTGTTTGTATTAGTGTCTTTTGGGGAAGGTAATGTCCCCATGTATATTAATAGATTTGAGCCATCCCATATTTAGTTTCTTGATATTAGATTTAGCTGCTGAAATCTGGAAGCTTTGCAGGGCAGAGGCTACTGCGTCAAAGCCTGGACTCAGGTAGCGTACACTCTGAGTGAAAACATGTCACAGCACCGAAACCTCATGGGAGGCCAAGGACAAACATTTCTAAGGTGGAGATAATGAAGAGGCAGAAGGATATAATCCAACCAAAAAAATATGACATCAGGCATACATGTCTATTAAATTCAACTGGGATGTGAGTGAATACTTTTTAAATAAAGGGCCATGAGCATGACGAACTGCAAATTCTGTATACAATATCGAAGCACAGCTCATTTTACTGTGCTGCACTTTATTGTTCTTTGAAGATACTGCGTTTCTTCACAGATTGAAGGTTTGTGGCAACCCTGCATTGTCAGATGATGGTTAGCATTTTTTAGAAATAAAGTATTTAATTAAGGCACATACTTTTTTTAGACACAATGCTATTGCACACCTAACAGACCACAGTATAATGGAAACATAACTTATATGCACTGGGAAACCAAAAAATTCGTGTGACTTGCTTTATTATGATACTCGCCTTATTGCCATGGTCTGGAACCACACCTGCTATATCTCTGAGATATGTCTGTAGTGTTAAAGTAAAGAACGGCACATGTAGCTGGAAGGATAGATGTTTTTTAAACTTTATTTTTATGGAGTAAATTTTGCCTAGGTATAACATAAAACTCAACATCTCTGTTAGTGGCAGTAGCCTGCAGTGCTAAGATGAATACCTGATAATTTAAACCCAAACTACTGATCTGATTAGGAAGCTAAGAGGCCAGACCAGAAGAAACCCTAAAACTCCTAAAAGAAAACATAAGCAGTAAATTCCTTGACATAGGTCTAGGCGATGATTTTTTGAATCTGATACCAAAAGCAAAAGCAACAAAAGCAAAAGTATACAAATGAGATTACATGAAACTAAAAAGCTTCTGCAAAGCAAAGGAAACCATCAACAAAATAAAAAGGCAACCTACTGAATGGGAGAAAATATTTGCAAATCATATCTGACAAGGGGTTAACATGGAAAATATATAAAGAACTCATAGAACTCAAAAGCAAAACACAAGCCAATTAAAAAATGGGCAAAAGATCTGAACAGACACTTTTTCAAAGAAGTCATACAAATGACCAACAGGTACACAAAAAGATGCGCAACTTCATTAATCATCAGGGAAGTGCAAATCAAAATCACAGTGAAGGGCGGAGGATACAGCTCAAGTGCTAGAGCACATGCTTAGCATGCATGAGGTCCTGGGTTCCATGCCCAGTACCTCCATCAAAAATAAAAAAATAAATAGGCCTAATGCTCCCCCCAAAATAACTAAAATAAAGTAGATTAAAAAAACACCACAGTGAGATACCACTTTACCCCAGTTAGAATGGCTATTATCAAAAAGAGAAGAAATAACAAGTGTTGGCAAGGATGTGGAGAAAAGGGAACCTTTGTGCACTGTCGCTAGGAATGTAAATGGTGCAGCCACTATGGAAAACAGTATGGCAGTTCTTCAAAAAATTAAAAATAGGCTACCATACGATCCAGCAATTCTACTTCTGGGTATTTATCCAAAGAAAATGAAAACACTAAGTCAAAAAAATTTATGCACCCCCATGTTCATCGTAGCAGTATTTACAATAGCCAAGATATGGAAACAACCTAAGTATCCTCTGATGGATAAATGGATAAATAAGTCGTGGTACACACACACACACACACACACACACAATGGCTATTCAGCCATAAAAAAGAATGAAATCTTGCCATTGTGACAACATGGATGGACCTTGAGGGCATCATGCTTAAGTGAAGTAAGTCAGACAAGGACAAGTACTGTATGATGTCTCTTATATGTAGAATCTAAAAGAAAAACAAACAAAAAAAACAAACTCATAGATACAGAGAACTGACTGGAGGCTGCCAGAGGCTGGGACTTGGAGGAGTGGAGGGTAGCAGGAAAAATCAGTGAAGGGGGTCAAAAAGCTAAAAAAATAGGGTAGCAATTCAAACGAGAGGGTAAAAGACTATAATATATGGTGATGCAATGGTTGAATAAAAAGACTTTACTGTTCTGTAAGAATATATATAAATATTCAACCCCACCCCACCAAATAGGCAATGGATGTAAATGAACCGTTTATTACAAAAATAAATACAAAAGGCAAGTAAACTTATGAAAGCACATTTAACCTCATCAGGGACAACATAAAAGACTAGAAAAGATTTTTACAAAATGCTTGGTATCAATAGATGTGTAGAAAAAGGCAACTCTGTTGTTGCTGGTTAGAGGTTAAAGGGCTTTAAACATTTGGAGGTACTTTGGCAATAGGTATCAAAAGATCCAAAAAAATGGGGTGGGGTGGAGTAGGGGTAGGGAGAACTATACACATATATTGCTAGTTAATCCTACAACTTCTTTGCAAGAGGAATTCTAAATGATAGTAATTTGGGGAACGTTACATCTTTTTCATGAAAGAGAAGAAAATAACACAGGTGTGTGTTTTCATAAGGCCACATGCATGTAGACCTTCTTCAGAGCATCATAGCACGCATCCCTCTCGAGCTGCATCCTGGGTGAGAACCACACACGACTTACCTGGATCGCCTCTCCTGAAGGCCGCTGAACCCAGCAAAGGACTGGCTCCTGATGATCCCATTGGGCCCTCCAGGCGAGAAGGACTGGGATCCTACCAACATGATTTCTGGGGGTCTGGATGGTAGTCCTGTAAGACAATGGAAAGATGATGGCAAATGAGAGGCAGGTTCCAACAGAAAACACGCCAAGCTTGTCAACGATAACAGGAGGTGACCTGAGGTGAGGTGAGTCCTGAGGCCATTAGGTGCTTGGAAGGCTTCCTTCTAGGACATGTTCTACTTAAGTCAAAAGGTTCAGTTCTCAGGTGAAGAAACATACTGAGACATAAATAAATATAAATTACACACCATGACCAGTCACTTCAGGGTTTCTTCAGGGATTATTTTTTTTTAAATTGAAGTACAGTCAGTTTACAATGTTGTGTCAATTTCTGGTGTACAGCATAATGTTTCAAGAGAGATTATTTTTTAAACAACATTCAATCGTGCCCTCAAAAAACACAAAAACTTTGGAATATTTTCTTCCATTTAGAACAATAACAGCAAAGGCGCACAAATAGGCCAAGTCAAGTTTCAGATGGGTTCTGTATCACATTCAAAACACAGGCGAGTCTTGGGGTAGAATTCTACACTTAGAAGTCACAAGGCCAAAAACACTAGGTTTCTTTAGAGATGAACTTACTTAAACCTATTCTCCCTTTTTCTACTCTTGAGTACCTTTTGACAGATTAGATCGTGCCGTGATGGTGGCAGTGAGAAAAAAGCAAAGCACAAAGAGCTCTAACAAATGTAGTGATAATCTAGGTTATGATAAGAACACAAGAGAAGAGGCAGGAAAAGCAAGGAGGAAATACAGCAGAAAGCACACTCTTCCCCACTTCGGTCGCTTGCTCGCCTTTTGGAAAGACTCATCACCATTGACCAAGACGAGCTGTCAAAACACAACTTCAGCTGGACGGAAGCCCAAGGTTAGTTCCCCCAAAGGACTGCCCTAGAACAGTTAGGTAATTCTTCTGCCTTCAGAGCGGGAAGAGTTGAAGCACAAACCATTGTCTTAGCTGGTAACCTCAGTCCAGAGACGGGGACCGGCTAGCAGGAGAAAATGGGACACAGCTCCTGTCCAGACTAAAGACTTCCAAACTGAGCACACACCAAATTGGTGTTTGCATAGCATCAACAATTGCCCTCGAAAGACCCAGCAAGCAACAAAGCTTTAAAAAAAACAGCAGCGAAACACTTGTTGAGTCCATCTAGATGTAATGGAAAGGCCAACTTCACTGGGTCCTACTCAAAGCTATCTGAAGCAGCTCAGCCAGGGGAGGAAGTTTGAGTGGGTTGCTTCCCCAAAGAGAGAACATAGCCCCCTTCCCCATGAGGCTGCAGGTTTTTAAATCCCCTCCTGTCCACCCACCCCAGGAGAAAGCAGGTCCTGGTTTGTCTGCATTCTTGCACGGTAGAGGCACTGACTCCTTTGGCAAGAGGTTTTGCAATAGGCAATAGGTTGCTCTTTGATTTGGGTGGGACACGATCCCCACCCACTCCAGCTAGGGATGGGGGCAGGGAGGCTTAAGTTTTGGAGCCTTCTCTAGAATTTTAAAAGTAACAAAGTAGAAGTATTGCAGTAAAACACATAAAGCAGATAAACAACAAGGACCTACTGTACAGCACAGGGGACTATATTCAATTTCTTGTAATGATCTATAATGGAAAAGAATCTGAAAATCTACACACACACACACACACACACACACACATATGTATAACTGAATTGCTTTCCTGTACATCTGAAACTAACATTGTAAATCAACTAAATGTCAATAAAAGATAAATTAGACAGAAATTTGCAGTAAAAATTGCAGTAATATCTAGTGCACAAAAGGCAGGACAAAACATAGTGCAAATAAGGCTCTTTCTGGTTACTTCTCCCCACCCCCAAGGTTCAAAAATAACCACAATTCACATAAATTCTTAATGAGGTTCTCCTAAGCGTTCTTTGTTGCTTACTAAGAATTCTGTCCACTATTCATTACAAACATCTTCTTAAGCTCACAAAGCATGCCTGTGCTATCGTGATATGTAACACATGCAAACGTAATAAATATCAAGAAAATGTAATAAATATTAAGAAAAAGATCAACAAAATGTAATAAATATCAGGAAACTATGTTCTTTCTGTACTCAACGATTTTATAACCTAAAACCCACCTTAAAGACTCAACTTAGCAAATTTTACTAGCATTGTATCACATTTTATAAATTATTGTTCAGTAGCTCTGTTGCATCATGGCATTCTTTGGTCACAGGGAAAAAACTTACAGTAATTGAAATATTTAAACTGGATTTGTCTTGTATTTCCAAGAAAATATATATTTATACCAAAAGGATTTTTTTCTCTCTTATCCATAGAATCAGAGGTTTCATCTACTGATGCTTGACAGCCACTCCCCCAAGCATTCTAATTCAACTAACATAAACCTGAGTATTGGGATTCAGTTAAAATAATCTGCTACAATTTCTCAAATCCAACTGTTAAAAAGAGTCTTAAATAAACTTCTCTTTGCAAAACTTCAAAGTCTCATTCAATGAATTAAACATTAGAACTGCATAGTGCAATCATTTTCCTTCTTCCTCTTTTTCAGTAATAGGTTCGAAAGCTTTTAGAGAACAAAACAAACATTGGTCCTGGATTCTAAAATTGTAAATTGCTTTAGGATGGGTAAAATCCTCAGAAGCTTTTCATTACATTTACTTGTTGAATGGATGACCCCTGGGAACAGGATGGGGTGAGCAGGTTTTGTTAATGTCCTGTTTTGCCTATCTGGTCTTAGAAATGATTGTTATCTATCAGAAAAGAATTTGGCTGATAGCTGGCTCAGGCTGAGATCTGTATCTCGACATCAATTCCCCTAGAGGCTGACACACTGCCTAAGGAGGGTCGTAAAATAAGTTTGAGAGCTTCTGCACAAAGTCAGGCTCTTGGAGAAAAGGCGTAGGTCGGGCGAGCAGGTGGAATGAGCGACGAGAGTACACAGAGCACCTCCCCCACCCACACCCCTAACTCTGAAGCAGGGGTGGTAGTTCTTTGCTACTAGTATTCCAACTGCCCCAGCAGCTAGTTATCCTGCAACTCCGTTATCATCTTTTTGACAGTGCCACTCCCACCTCTTGGTACCCTGTTTTCCAGCTGCTCCCTGGCTTCCTAGAATCTCACGGACCTGCTTCCTTCCAGCAAAACTACCCCAAAAGCTACATTCAGGCTTTAAGGACTTAAAACTGGTTCCTTGTAATCTGGCATTTTAATAGCAGACGCTCCTTCAAACCAAAGCCTTCACCTAAAGAAAGCACTGTAGTGCAATTGCAGTATCACTGCTGGTAGAGGTGTCATGTCGTACCCAAAGTTTGGAAGACAAAGTGGTAGTATCTACTATTTAAAATGTAAAAGATACTTACCCTTTAATATGCCACATCTACTGATTGTTATCTCCTATTCACAAAAAGGTATATACAGGGATGTTCATGACAGTCAGTATAATAGTGGAAAAATGAAAATAATATAAATATTAATCATTACAAAAATTGTTAATACATTATGGCATAACCATAGAATACTATGCAGCAGTTAAAAATAATAAGCCCACATAGAAAGACTCCCAGAACAAATTACAGAACAAAATAGAGTATAATACCAGGAATGTTGAAAAAACAACAAAATAAAATTATGTACAGGAACAGAAAAGTTCTGAAAGCATACACAGTCCATAGAGAGGTGGGATTGAATGGCAGTCAGAAACACTAATTTCTCTACACTGTTTGAGTTTTTATAAAGGAAATGTATTTATGTATTATAGATATGATGCAAAATTCTTTTTTGAAACTGCAGGCATGTGGCGTTGTCCAGAAAAGAGACCTCACATATAAGAACATATAAGATAACTTTGATGGGTATCCGTTCTGTTTATACAATTGCTTATATTTAAAAGTCCTGCAGAGAAGAAATATGATTTCTAAGAAATAATGTATTTGGTTTCATAAATTATGGTTATACCAGAACAAGTCAGATTCCTCAATAAAATCCCTATTATGAGCTGTGAGCTATGTACCACTTCCTTTTTTCCGTCTGAAGGACTATTAGAAATGGGACTGCACTCCTGGTAGTACGCACTATACCCAATACATATTGCTAAGGTTCACCAAATACCGTATCTAATATGCAAGAAATTCCACATAAAACAACAAACTTTTCTTTGGCTGCTACTACTTGAAACTCCCAGGGCTTTGAAAAATGTTTCTAGTCCCTGAGTTATCGATTTCTCACCTGGTCTTTCTGAAAATACCAGCAGAATTAGCATTCATTTTTGTGCATTAAATCGTGGACAGGTTTCAAATCTGAAGCAAATGGTGAAGCTGCTATGGTTTGCCCCCAAATTTGCTTTGTCCCAGGAGGTCCAGGCTGTTAAACCAGGTGCCCACCCCCGCCTGCCATTCCCACAATCTCTGTGAAGAACAGAATCTTTCTGGAAAGAATCCTAAGCACCCTAAGAGTTGACCAAACCCTACCATTCTGAGCTGAGTTTCTCAGCACAGAAACCAGAAAGCCACAGTTGTTTCTCTTCTTGACTCTTCATGCAATAAAACCTCAGCCTTCTCCCCGTCTATGCAATGCTAAGATCCAACTGAACACATATCAGAGTCTTTTGAAATTGAAATGAGTATAGGATTTTACATGTTCTGTTATGACACGGTGCCAAAAGTGGGTGCTCTGAGCCACCAGCTGACCTGAAGTTCCTCGTTTGTTTTAAACTAAAAGGTAGCTTATCTAACCAGCAGGCAGTTTTTGGACAAGAAAGGGCATGGGGTCTGGAGATGGCAGAGTCTGGGGAGGTGGCTGAGGCAGATAAAGAAAGATCAAGGGATCAAGAGGTTCCCCCTCATCCCGCCAGGTCTCATGCCTTGTTTGGACCAGAAATAAAAGTTGCAATGTGAGTGCAGTTCAAAGTGGGAAACAGCCCGCTATTAGGAGAACTTAGAGAGATCCTGATCTTCAGAATAAATGAATGAATGACAGAAGTCAACCTTGGAGCACTGCTTGGAGGACAGACAATGCAGGACATCTATCACAGGAGGGCAG